ATGCACAGGCCATGCACACGTACATACACACAGGCAACACACACTGAGGCTACTCCACACACACACGCTGACCACACACACACACACAGGCAACACACTCAAGCAACACGCACACACACAGGCAACACGCACACACACAGGCAACACGCACACACAGAGAGGCAACACGCACACACAGAGAGGCAACACGCACACACAGAGAGGCAACACACACAGGCAACACACAAACACAGGCCAAACCACACGTACACAGGAAACACACACATATAGGCCACACCACACACACAGGCAACACACACACAAGCCCACACCACACAGGCCACGCACACAGGCAGCACATATACATGCAGCAGACACACAGACACTGCAGCACAAATACACACACTGGCAACACACATACACTGGCAACACACATACACACTGGCAACACACATACACACTGGCAACACGCACCCACAGGCAACACGCACCCACAGGCAACACGCACAGGCAACACGCACAGGCAACACACGCAGGGCACACCAAACACGCGCAGGCAACACGCGCAGGCAACACGCGCAGGCAACACGCACAACACACAGGCAAGGCACACACACAGGCAAGGCACACACACAGGCAACACACACGCACATGCACACACGTAGGCAACATGCACACACGTAGGCAACATGCACACACGTAGGCAGCACTCACACACGTAGGCAGCACTCACAGGCAACATGCGCAGATACACAGGCAACACGCACAGCACAGACACACAGGCAATATGCAGAGGCAGCACACACAGGCAACACACATGCCACACCACATACACGCAGGCAACACACACAGGTAACACACGCACTACACCCACACAGGCAACGCGGACACACACACAGGCAACGCGGACACACACACAACGCGGACACACACACAGGCAACTCACACACTGGCAACGCGCACTGGCAACACGCACACACACGGGCAACGCGCACAGACACACGGGCAACGCGCACAGACACACGGGCAACGCGCACAGACACACGGGCAACGCGCACAGACACACGGGCAACGCGCACAGGCAACACACATGCCACACCACACACACGCAGGCAACACACACAGGCAACACACACACTACACCCACACACACACAGGCAACACACACACTACACCCACACAGACACAGGCAACACACACACTACACCCACACAGACACAGGCAACACGTATACACACACACACTGGCAACACACACACACACTGGCAACGCACACACAAGCAACACACACTGGCAACACACACACACACACTGGCGACACACACTGAAAACACATTCGCGCGCGCGCACACACACGCACAGGCAACACACATTGGAAGGACGTCCCAAGTGCAGTGACTTGTTCAAGTCACTTGTCACTCACCTCATGGCTGTTGCGGAGCTCTGTTGTGTGTCAAATGGCTGCTGTCAACTGTGTATAACCTGGCAGTAAAATGCAAACTCTTGCACCTGAATTTCAAGGCGATGACATAGCTCAGTGCCTTTGGTGGTTCTTCTACAGATTAAGTGGAGATTATGGTGGAAAGAGTGAAGGAGGGTTCACCCAGGATTGTTACAGCACACCTTACAGCATTGTTGAGCAACTATTATAGTATAAACACCCCATGTGATAAAACTCAGGCATAACGTATCACAAACTGCAGAATGGGAAGGGTTTGTTGAGATAGCGAGTCCACCAAGTGGTTCACTGTACAGGAGCTGTGACGCTGCTTCTCCCTACCCACCCAGGGCCCTCCATCACTCATCCACTGTGTCTAGAGTCAGGGATGGCTATGGGAGGAACTCTATTGGTCACAAGGAATATGTTTTTTTTATGAATGTGTGTGTGTATCTCTCCTGTCAATCTCTGTAGCTATATATAACAATACATACTCTCACTTGCAAGGCAAGTGCTCTAACCACTAGGCTACAACAACAACTTGCATTTATATAGTGCCCGTCATGTGGGGCAGTGTCCTGGAGCGCTTGACAGTGGCAGTCTGACATCGAGCCAGTGGGAGAGGGAGGGGGGATGTGACCATAAGCACGATCAAAAAGGAAGGTCTTTAGGCGGGATTTGAAAGTGGAGGGAGAGAGAAGCTACAGGACTCCTAAGTATATCTGTATTTGTGAGTTGTGTGTGTATGCAGTGGTTTATTGTGATCTTACTAAACTTTTGAACAGTGTGGGGCTGGTGAGCCACAAGTTTAGGAACTGAGGTAAGAAAACGCATTGCAATCGGGTTCCGTGTATTTCCTTTCCTGTCTGTGGGGTGGGTACGTGCTTGGAATGGCTGCACACTCATTGGATTAATTTGCCTGGTAAATCACTTCTATTTCTGCCTCATGATGTGGTGTTCTTGTTTTCTGCCTCACACCACATCGTCTTTGAGCAATGTTTTTTCTTGTAGTTATCTGTGATGGTGTTTTTCTTTTTAATCTGGGTCATTCTCCCTTTCCTTGCACTTGTGGTGCTTCTCTCCTGGATCTTGCAAATAATCTCTCAAAACACTTCACAGAATATACTGTGAAGTATATTGTATATTTTGTGGGCAGAAGGTGGCAGCCAATTGTACACAGCAGTGTCCCACAAACAGTTGTGGATTGAGTGACCAAATTATTATATATATATTTTTGAAGGGATTATTACTCCTGGGAAAAGCGATCCGCCAATCGACTAACAACTGGGTTCCCATTTACTGCTAGGTAAACAGAGGTGGGTATTCTTTATACAAAGCCAGTCAGTGAGCGTTGGCTGGTTGTTTGATGGGGTGTAGAGTGTGCTGCCCTCTTACTGAGAGGCCTAAAATTCCATCTAGGCAGCCCTGTGGGCCATTTTGTCTTACAATGTAAGATTGTGCAGAAAGGAGGAAAATGTAGACTTAATTTGGTGGAGTCCTGTGGCTCAGTGGTTAGAGCACTCGCCTCACAAGTGAGAGACCTGGGTTCGATTCCCGGTAGGGTGAAACAACAACAACAAGATTCCATTTATTGAGCGCCTTTCACGTCGGGAGGACATCCCAAGGCGCTGTACAGTTGGGTCAGGACCCGAGCAGGGGGGAAATGGTCAGGGTGAGGGGAGGGAAGGGAGGGAGGGAGCGAGGAGGGGGTAGAGAGTCGAGAGGAGAGCTGAAGGCACGGTCAAAGAGAAACCTTGGGCAACTTTCCTTACTCCACACGCCTGATAATAATCCCTCAAGAAAAAACCCAATAATAATTTGGTCACTCAATCCATGACTGTTTGTGGGACACCGCTGTGCGCAATTGGCTGCCGCGTTTCCCCCACAAATATACAGTCAGTTCACTTTGCAGTATATTCTGTGAAGCGCTTTGAGACGTCTCGATGACGAGAAAAGTGCTAAATGAAATGCAAGGATTATTATTGTTATTACTAATTTGGGAACTGTGGAAAACTGGCTTTGTAGAGTCCGTAGCTCAGTGGTTAGAGCACTCACTTTGCAAGTGAGAGACCTGAGTTCAATTCCAGGCAGAGGGCGAAACCTTGGGCAAGTTTCCTTACTCCACACAGAGCCTAATAATAATCCCTCCAAAACCAAAAACAATAATAAATTGGTCATTTTCAATCTACGACTGTTTGTGGGACATTGCTGTGCGCAATTGGCTGCCGCGTTCGCCCACAAATATACAGTCAATTCACTTTACAGTATATTCTGTGAAGCGCTTTGGGATGTCCTCCCGACGTGAAAAGCGCTATATCAAATGCAAGGATTATTATTATTCTGAATCAAGGCTGCATTGTGGAAGTTTCCACAATGGTGTTTCTTCATAAATGTTAAAACAAATGTTTCTCACACACAGGCAATGGCTTGGGGGGTGGGGGGGTTTGCTCTAATGTCCCTCTAGCCCAGACAATTAATTGTAAATCACCTGAGGAAGTGATTTACGCTGCATTGATCTTTGTATGTTAATGAAGTGTCAGTTTGCTTCAGTTGTTAGCACTCCCATCTCTTGGAAAAAAATGTCAGGTGTTGAAACCCTGCCAATGGAATATTGGAATTGTGAGAGGTCTCTGTGGGGGTCTCTGGTGACAGCTCAGCCCAGGGTTGCTCATTGACAGGACCTGGAAGGGCAGACCAGTCGCTGGGATGGTCCTAGCTGGACAAATAGCGGGAAACCTTGCCAGATAGCAATATCAATGGCAAGCTATGTGGTTTAGCTGGTTAGAGTCCAGCAGTTACCCCAACTCACACTCTGGGGTCCCCAAGCCTTGGCTCTTGCCAACCTGCGCCTAATACTCTATGGAATTAGGTAAACAGGATGTGTCCCTCCAGGGAGAGAGTCACATTCCATTCAAACAATTTATCACTGGGATTTCCATGTGTAGGTGGGATGCACAGAAACTTCAGCTTGGTTTCGATGCACTTAAGCATGGTGATGGGTTTCTGCATGTGTCAAGACACCTGCCTGAGCAAAATAACAAACAAAACCTATGTAGGGACATCTTTATTTTGAAAAGAGTTTCTCCCGGTGGTCCTTGGTTACACACTTCATGGTTATTTTGTGGAACCTTGCTGTGTGCAAATTGATCGCAGTGTTTGACTACAAAATAATAATAATGATCCTTGCATGTGATATAGCCCTTTTCACGTCTTCTAAACGTCTCAAAGTGCTTCACAGAATATTGACTTATATTTGTGGGCGAAACTCAGCAGCCAATTTCTATACAGCTATTATACTTCATAACTTTGTAGTAGTAATCCCTTCAATAATAACCAGGGGTAATAATCCCTTCAAAAAAAGTAATCATAATAACAAAATATAAAGTCAACTCACTTTACAGTATATTCTGTAAAGTGCTTTGAGACGTCTCAAGAACCTGATAAGATACTATATCAAATGCAAGGATTATTATTATTGTAACAATTCCCAATGAGACACTTTGAGATGTTTCAACATCGGCTGCCAATATGAAATACAAGAATTGTTGTTTATAATAATTAACATTGGTTGTTTGGATTGCAGCGGGAGAGAACACAGATCGTGAGATGGCGAGCGAGGTTATCATGTTAGCGAGGGGCCTCGCCAAGTTGAGCCAGGCCATCGTGGAAATGCAGAGCGCCCAGCTGCGTCAGGCCATATCTGGAGGCGAGTCACTGTCTGCACTCAGGAGCTGGCAGGTGCTCACCGAAGAAAGCTTCAGTGCGGCTGTGGGGAAGGTCCAGGTAGGTCTCCTGCACTGACACATGCATTTGCTTTTAATCTCACAGTGGAGAGATGCACAACAACAACTTTATATGGCGCCTTTCATGCGGAGTAGTGTCTCTGTGCGCTTAACTGTGGCGGAGTCTTGACACCGAGCCAGGGGAGAGGGAGGGGTGAGGTGACTGTAAGCACGATCAAAAAGGAAGGTCTTTAGGCAGGATTTGAAGTGGGGAGGGAGGGGGCAAGGCGCAGGGATTGAGGGAGAGAGTTCCAGAGCACACTGGAGCTGAGCTGTGCTCAATGGCCGAGACAGAAGAGACTAGATATGAAACTCCATTTGCGCAAAGCACAAGATCAAAAGGGATGTTTTCGGGGTTTACGGTGAGATTGTTTGGGTGGAGGGAGGGAGGCATATGCAGCAGGATAGTGATTGGTAGTGGAACTGTTTTGTGCTTCTTCCTTCCCCAGCCCAGGAGGTTCTGAAGCCAATTGCAGTCACCCTTTTCCCTTCATGGCTGAGATCAGCTAACTTGGCACAGAGTGTCGTTGGTGTGGGGGTGAGATTCGGTCGGGATTGGGTCCTTCCCTGTATGCTGTATTTATTACTTTTCCAGAGTGAGTTAGAGCCAGTAGTGCGCATGTTTGAATTCATACACACACGTGGAGAAAGCTGTCGGGACTTGCTTTGCTGGTTGAATGAGCCAATAGTGTGTGGCCCGAGCTCCATGTCAACACCCCTACTCCTCATGCTCTCTCCTCCTCACACACAGCTCTGCTGAGTCAGCTGATCTCAGTCAAGGCCATAATTGCATCTCAGAGCTCATTGGTTTAAAGTGGGGGGGGGGGGAAATCAGGCAGTATTTCTCTCTCTTTCTCCCATCCCCCCGCCCCATTTGAAATTCCACCTGGTCTTAGCCTGTGAGACTATTTTATCTTAAAATATCAGCTTGGGCAGAATTGTGGAAAACTCTTGGAATGCAATCTTAATTTGAAAATTAGTTTTCCACAGTTTATGAAACTATGTGCATGGTTATCAAGTTATATAGGATTGGGCTCACCTTTGTCGCTACCACTTCCATTTCCACCCTGTTTCGTGGCCATAATGAATACTGCAGCCATCCTTGTGTGAGAGGAGCTAATGCCGAAGCTCTTCTATACTGCAGGACGGGCGGGTGCTGGGGGGTGGGCAGAGGTGAGATTGGGTGGGTTTGAGTGTGAAGGGAGGTGGTATGAATAACATAGAAAAAGGGTAGGCCATTCAGTCCATCGAGCCTGTTCTGCCGTTCTATAGGATCATGGCTGATCTGTTCCTCAACTCCAATTATCCACCTCCAATTGCCCCATATCTCTTGATAATTGTGCTGGCCGGATCGTCTGCTACCTCTTCTCTATCCATCACAGGATCTCGGCACACAACAGGAACGCATCTCACAGCTGGATGAAGATTTGTCTTCGGAATGGAATCTCTCCAGCCCGGAGTCCTGGGCACTGGGAACAGATTGCTCCTCCGTCCCCACCGTAGCCTCTCGGGGACCATCAGGCCCTAACCCACCGTCTTCGTCCGACCAGGTGCAGGGGATCACGGGGGAGGGGAGGCTTTTTACCGATAGACACCAGGACACTAACAGGTTGTTTTCGGGGCTGGGACAGAGGAGAGCATTTCACCAGGACCACGGTTCGGTTGGGGGCTTGACTGCCGAAGACATTGAGAAAGCCAGAGAGGCGAAAGTCAATCCCACGGACAAACCTCACCGACAGATGGTAAGTCTGATCATCCACCCGAACCTGTGCCCTCTTATCCTGCTGCATCCACACATTTATCACATCTAGGCAGCTTTCCCAACTCTTCTTTCCAAAAGCTGGAGATCATCAGAACTCTGCAGCCTCTTCTGCACCAGGTTCCGTGATCCCATCACCCCCACCTCGCCCGGCTCCACTGGCTCCCCATTTCTCGGAGGATAGAGTTCAAAATCCTCATCCTCGTCTTCAAGGCTCTCCACGGCCTTCCTACCTCTGTGACCTGCAAACTCCCAAATCAACCTCTCCGCTTATCAGGCTCTGGCATGGTCCACTTCCCCCACCTGGCCCGTCCCACCATTGGCGGTCAGGCCTTCAGCCTCTCTGTCCCCACCCTTTGGAACTCCATCCCACAATCCCGTTGCCCCGCTCCCTCCCTTGTTTCCTTTAAGGAATGTCTTAAGACCCTCCTCTTGGATCGCGCCTTCGACCACCTTCCTACGCCTACCTTCCCTGCCCTCTACCCATTCTGATCCCAGCCCCCAGTTCGGGTCCAAATCCCTGGATGTCCAGTGCCTTGGGACGTCTTCCTGATTTGAAAAGTGTTACACAAATGTAATTTGTTGCTTTGCATATCTGGAGACCTGTAGCTCAGTGATTAGAGCGCTCGCCTCGCAAGCAAGAGGACTTGGGTTTGATTCCTGGGAAAGGCAAAACGTTGGGCAAGTTTCCTTACTGTACACACCTCTGTTTACCTAGCAGTAAATAGGAACCTGGTTGTTAGTCAATTGGAGGATCGTTTTTCCAAGGGTAATACAACAACAATAACAAAATCACATGAGTAAAGTGCCTTTCACGTCGAGAGGACGTCCCAAGGTGCTGAACAGTTGGGGATCAGGACCCGAGCGTGGGGGAGCAGGGTTAGGGGGAGGGAGGGCAGAGAGGTAGGAGGGCGGCTGAAGGCACGGTCAAAACGGAGGGCCCTTGAGTCGTGCCTTGAAGTGAGGGAGAAAGGCAAAGGGATTGTGGGGGCAGAGGCTGAAAGCCTGTCATTTTCAAACCATGACTGTTTGTGGGACATTGATGTGCGCAATTAGCTGTCGCATTTTGCTCACAAATATACAGTCAATTCACTTTACAGCATATTCTGTGAAGCGCTTTGAGACGTCTAGAAGACGTGAAAAGCGCTACATCAAATGCAAGGATTATTATTACTATTATTATAGGAGGGTCAAGGCTGTGGAGGGTCTTGAAAGTGAGGACAAGGATTTTTAATTCTGTCCTCTGAGGGATGGGAAGCCAGTGAACCCGGGCGAGGGTGGGGGTAATGGGGTCACGGAGCCTGGTGCAGGAGAGGACGAGAGCTGCAGAGCTCTGGATGATCTGCACCTTGTGGAGGGAAGAGTTGGGCAGGCCAACAAGGAGGGAGTTTCCGTAGTTGAGCTTTGATGTGACAAATGTATGTGTGAGGGTTTCGGCAGCCTGAGGGGAGAGGCAGTGGCGGAGTCGGGCAATATTGCGGAGTTGGGCGAAGGCAGAGCAGGTCATGGTACGAATGCGGGGGAGAAAGGACAGTTTATGGTTGAACAAGACGCCCTGGTTCCTCACTGGCTTGGTGAGGTGGAGTGTGAGGTGATAAAGTGCTTTACCAAATGCAAGGATTATTATGTACAGTTATGGAAAAGGACAACAGTCAATCAAAGGTAAAGACCCTCAACTGGAAGCAGGCTAATTTCAGTGAGCTAAAAGGGCACCTGGCCAAGATAGATTGGAAAGAAAGATTGGCAGGTAAGACAGCAAACGAACAATGAGAAGCCTTCAAGGAGGAGATAGTTCGGGGACATTCCCACAAAGGGGAAAGGTAGGACAGTCAAACCTCCCTGGATGACTAAGGAAATTGGGATTAAAATAAAACAGAAAAAGGAGGCTTATGACACTGTCAGATCAAAAAAAAACAGTATAATCAAATAGAATATAGGGAGTACAACAAGAAGATTACATTTGTATAGTGCCTTTCACGTTGGGAGAATGTCCCAAGGTGCTGGACAATGTACAGCATTTCAGACCCAAGCTGGGGTAGGGGGGAGTTGTCGATGGCATAGTCGAAGAGGAGGGTCTTGAGATGGGACTTGAAGGAGGGGCAGAGGCGGAATGACTGGGGGATGGAATTCCAGAGGTGGGGGGCAGAGTGGCTGAAGGCTCTCCCGCCAATGGTGGGACGGTTGGGTCGGGGGCCGTGGAACAGGCCAGAGCCGGCTGAGTGGAGGAATGGGCGGGTTGATAAGCGGTTAGGAGGTCGCAGAGGTAGGGTGAGGTGAGGCCATGGAGGGCTTTGTATGTGAGGACCAGGATCTTGAATTGGATCCTCTGAAGGATAGGGAGCCAGTGGAGTCGGGCGAAAGTGGGGGAGATGGGGTCATGGAGTTTGGTGCGGGAGAAGACACGGGCTGCAGAGTTCTGGATTATCTGCAGCCTGTGGAGGGAGGAGTTGGGAAGGCCGACAAGCAGGGCGTTTGCATAGTTGAGCCTGGAGGTGATGAAGGCATGAACAAGAGTTTCAGCGGCCTGAGGGTTGAGGTAGTGGCGGAGTCGGGCGATGTTACAGAGTTGAGGGAAGGCAGAACGGCTCATGGCTTGAATGTGGGGGAGAAAAGACAGTTGAGAACAAGACACCGAGGTTCCTGACTGACTTGGTGAGTTGTAGTGTGCAACCATGGAGGTTGATGCTGATAATAGAGTTGGGTGTCATCCGCATACATAAGGAAGTTGACCCTATGTCGCGGATGATGTCACCAAGGGGGAGCATGTAGAAGAGAAGAAGTGAAAGAGGAAATAAGAGGGGCGAAGAGATTATGCGAGAAAAGATTAGCAGGAAACATAAGAGGGAACCCTAAGGTATTTTATAAGCATATCAAGAGTAAAAGGTTAGGCAAAGGTAGGGTGGGTCCAATTAGGGACTCTAGTGGAAATTTTCTTGTTGAGGCAGAGGGCTGATGTACTAAATAGTACTTTACAACTGTCTTTACAAAAGAAGACGATGCAACCAATGCCACAATATCGCAGGCGTGTGAACAGAAATTGGATATGATGAAAATCAACAGCAAGGATGTACTAAAAGGGCTGTCGGTGCTCAACGTAGATAAGTCACCTGGTCCGGATGGGATGCATCCTAGGTTACTGAGGTAAGCAAGGATGGAAATAGTGGAGGCTCTGGCCACAATCTTTCAATCTTTGGACACTGGAGTAGTGCCAGAGGACTGGAAGGTTGCAAATGTTACTCCGCTGTACAAAAAATGGCAGAAGTATAAACCTGAGAACTGCAGGCCAGTCAGCCTAACATCAGTAGTAGAGAAACTTCTGGAGACTATAATCCGGGACAATATAAATTCTCACTTAGAAAAATATGGTTTAATAAAGGACAGTCAACAAGGATTTGTTAAAGGCAGATCGTGTCTGACAAACCTAATAGAATTTTTTGATGAAGTGACTGAGAGGATGGATGAAGGTAGAGCAGTAGATGTAGTTTATCTAGATTTTCAAAAGGCATTTGACAAAGTGCCACATAAGAGACTTATAAACAAAATAGAAGCCCACGGTATTAAAGGGACTGTGGCAACATGGATCCAGAACTGGCTAGGAGACAGAAAGCAAAGAGTGGTAGTAAACGGTTGCTTTTCTGACTGGAGGAAGGTGTGTAGTGTCCCTCAGTATTGGGACACTGCTCTTTCTGATCTATAAAGCATACGGGATACCAGGTTTTATAATTAGGGGCATATTTATAAAATGCTGGTTAGGCCTCAGTTGGAGTATTGCGTTCAGTTCTGGGCACCGCACTTTAGGAAAGATGTTAGGGCATTGGAGAGGGTGCAAAGGAGGTTTACCAGGGTAGTCCCAGGAATGAAGGACCTTAGTTATGAGGAGAGGTTAGAGAAACAGGGATTATTCTCCCTCGAGCAGAGAAGGTTAAGAGGGGATTTAATGGAGGTTTTCAAGATCATGAGAGGATTTAATAGGTTGAACCGGGAAAAACTGTTTCCACTGGTATGTGGGTCAGTAACCCGAGGACACCGATTTAAGATGGTTGTTAAAAGAAACAAACAGGAGGTTAGGAAAAAAAGTTTCACCCAGCGAGTTGTTCAAATCTGGAATGCATAACCAGAAAGGGTAGTGGAAACTCATTCAATAACAACTTTTAAGTGAGAAGTAGATAGTATTTGGGGAGGACAGGATTGCAGGGCTGTGGAGAGAAACCAGGCCAGTGGGATTGAGTTGGATTGCTCTTTTCGGAGGCGACGCAGATGCGATGGGCCGAATGGCCTCTTTCTGTGCTGTATGATTCTGTGATTCTATGATTTATTATTATAATATCATGAAGACCAGAACTGCACTCAGTACTCCAGTTCTTGGCCTGAATTTAATATAATCCCCAGAATGAATTAAAGAGGCAAGAATTTTTTTTCAGTGCAGGTGATAGGAATGTGGAATTCTCTACCTCAAACCATTGTTAAAGCAAAGTCCATAAATTCCTTTAAAAGGGAATTAGATAATTGCTTGAGGAGAAAGAATAGTTGAAGATGTCGTACTTTGGATGAGAAGTTAAACTGAAATTGGTCTGTCCCTTCGCCTCGCTCCCTCCCTTGCCTCTGTCAAGGCACATCTCAAGATCCTCCTCTTCGACCGTGCCTTTGGCCACCGCCCTACCCTCCTTGCCCTACACCCCACCTGATCCCATCTCCCTGCTCAGATCCTCACTGTCCAGCGTCTTGAAACTTCCTCCCAACGTGCAACACGTGAAATTTGTTGTTGTTGTTGTTCTGGTAGAGGTTAAAGTTCCTGTGACAATGTTAGAAAAGAGGAGTTTCTCCTAGTGACTTAGCCAGAAACTCCCAGATAAAATTGGTCATTCAACTTGTGGCCATTGATGGGACTTTACTGTGGAGAAAAAATGACTGCTACATTTGCCTACAAATAGTCACTAAACGTGACAGTATAAAATGCTCCCTAATGTTTTTGATGTATCAAAATATAATTTGTCAGTGATTTTCCCTGTGACCTCTGCCCCACTCTTTGGAACTCCATCCCACGGTCCCTTTGCCTCACTCCCTCCCTTGCCTCCTTCAAGGCACATCTTAAGACCCTCCTCTTCGACCGTGCCTTCGGCCACCCTCCTAACCCTACTCTCCCTGCCCTCCACCGCTCCTGATCAAAACCCCCAGCTCAGGTCCAAATCTCTGACTCGTCTTTTTGACGTGAAAGGTGCTATACATATGTAATTTATTGTTTTTATTTGCGCTGTAGCTGAGTGAGCGAGCTCGCGAGCGGAAGGTGCCGGCAACGCGGATTGGGCGATTGGCCAATTTTGGAGGTGGGTATTCCATACGTTCTCCTTTATTGTGGAATTCCTTTCTCCCTTTTGTGAGTCTATAAATTTAATCTTTTTTAAAGGTTTTTAACTTAATCTTTTGACCCAAACTGAGGGGAGGGGGATGGACTTCCAATCCTTGTGGTGCTTCCCATCTGGTGGGTGTGGTGTTAGTGGTGGGGTGGAGGTGAAGATTGTTCAGCGTGTATTTATGTACAGTTCAGTGTATGCTTCAAGTCTTATAGGGCACTCTTATCGATTTCTCTCCCCCCTCCCATTCTCTGCTCCTCACTCCTACTCCCCACCCTCCCATGCAGGTTCCATAAATAAGTTACACAGTAACAAAGTCGCTATGTGCCTATTGCACTGACTTGCTGAAGGTGGCACAGGGCCACACTCTCAGCTGCTCAGAAATAGTCACACTGATTCTAGCAGCCTCTGACTCACTCCCTGCCTTACTGAGTTGCTGATTCACATCAAGCCCCACTCAAATCAAGCCCCACTTCAGTCAGCCTAGACTGTGAGCTCAACATCAGTCTAGGCTGACAGAAACAATGACTGACGAGCATTGACTGAAAGGATCCTCTCACTTGTTTTCAAATACCTTCATGCCCTTGCACCTCCCCATCTACCTGATCTGCTTGCCCCCCCACTCCACCACCCGCTGGTTCCAGCCTCCTGTTTGTCCCCCGTCCCCTCCGCTCCACCATCAGTGGCCACTACTCCCCGAAACTGTAGAACTCTCTCCCTCAATCCCTCTGCCTTCCTCCCTCCCTCCCTTCCTCCCCACTTTCAAATGCCACCTAAACACCTTGCTTTTTATTGTGCTTATGGCCCCCCGTCCGCCCCCTCTCCCCCTGGCTTGGTGTCACACTCCACCTCTGTCAAGCGCTCCAGGATACTACCCCATGTGAAGGGCGCTGTATAAAAGCAAGTTATTGTTGTAAATGCAACTTGTTGTTATTTTATTTTGGTTGCACGACCTAAAGGATTGATTCTCTAGGAAGCTACAAGATTCAATTAAGGAAGCTTTGAAAAAGATTGTACATTCCTCTGAAAGGATGAGAGCGCTCATCATTTGACCCCTCAGTACTTAGCTCTCTCCTTAGAGTGAGCAATTCCCATTGTATTTACTAAAGGTGAAATTCAGATAAGATTGTAATGTTTCTTGGCAAATGGTGATTAAACAACAATAATCCCCATTTGGTTAATGTTTTGCCTGCGGTTTTAAGAGATTTTATGTAGCTGTTGTGCTGGTGCCACAACTGCCGGGCTCTCTTTACTTCCCTTCCCCCTCTCCACCTGGGCCAGGGAGGAAGCCTGGATTAGCAATGTCTTAGGTTGTGGAGGGTTGATCAGGAATCATGATCTGATTGTTGCTTGGATTGAGTTGTTTTAAATATGTCTGCTTGGCTCAATTGGCGTACTCTTACCTTTGGGTTTGAAGGTTGTGTTTCCATGCTGCAGGCTGACACTCCAGTGCAGTTTTGGGGGGATGCAATCTTGTTAGAGCTGCTGTTTTTTAGAAACAAAACCCAAGGTTCTGTTGACTTGTTCAGATGCTTGTTAAAAATTGTGTGACGCAATTGAAAAAGAGGTGTTTCTCGGTGTCCTGGCTGGTTGGTTTTTCTCGTCATGGCAGTTTTTGGGATCTTGCTGTAAACAAATTGACTGTTACGTTAGCCTACAAACAGTCACTACACCTGACAAATTCCATGTGGAGCATTTTGAGTCATTTCAGTGTTACAGGTGCTGTCAAATACAAGAATTATCCCATTCACCTCTCAGTCTGGAAAAGAGTGGTGGATGTTCGCCCTGGTTCATGGTTGCTGGAGTGAGGTTGTGGATTTGCTGCTATGTTACTGACACCTCATTTGCTTCTGTGTTGTGGCTCAGGTTTGGCTGTTGGTCTCGGAATTGGTGCCCTGGCAGAAGTGGCCAAAAAGAGCTGGAGGCATGAAGACCGAACAGGTGAGAGGATTTCTGAATGGAATGTTGTTTCACATTATTTTGCCCAAGTAAGAATATCTGGTTAAGCAGTCATGAGAACACATTTCCACTGGTGCCTCTGAAAATCCTGGTAGCTATTCTTCATCTTGGAGACTGGACAGTGGGTGTATGTGTATGTATGATGGTGAAGTCTGATCTGGGCTTAGCTCCATCTGTCTTCACAAGTTACAGTTCCGGATTGAACAGTGCTGGTGAACCTTTATTCAGATCTTCAATGTGTGAGTGTATGTGTGTGTGTGCACGGTGTCTGCCTGCCTGGGAGGGCTGTGGGTGCTTCTCAGTAGTTCGGGGAGTGAGCAGCAGACCAGAGTTTAACAAGAGTGGAGGGTAGGGACTATATTTTGGGATACGAATCCTACCAAATGGCCTTTTCCTTTGCTCAGAGTTTCTGTTTCAAATTATCGCTGCAGCTTATTGGTTAAAGCCTGGGTTCGATTCCCGGGCAGGGCAAAACATTAGGCAAGTTCCCTTATTCCACATGGACCCGTTTACCCATCAGTAAGTAGAAACCCGGTTGCTAGTCGATTGGTGCATTGCTTTCTGGGGGTAACAATCACTTAAAAAAACAAACAATAATTTGGTCACTCAATCTGCAGCTGTTTGTGGGAAGCTGTGTTTCGCCCACAAAAGTGTTTTGAGACATCTCAACGACGTGATGAGGTGCTATATCAAATGCAAGGATTATTATATTATGAACCAGTTCCAGCTTTGAAGACCTGAATGAAGGTTCACCAGCACTGTTCAACTTGGAGCTGTAACTTGTTACCTCAGCATCATAGGGGTTATTCACATTATAAAAATAATAATTATCCTTGCATTTGATATAGTGCACATCTTCGAGATCTCTCAAAGCGCTTCACAGAAGGTACTGTAAAGTGAATTGACTCTTATTTTGTGAGCGAAAAGTGGCAGCCAATTTGTGGATTGAATGACCAAATTATTTTTGTTTGAAGGGATTATTACTCCTGGAAAAGCAATCTGCTAATTGACTAACGTTCCAACTTACTGCTAGGTAAACAGAAACGTGTGAAGTAAGGAAATGTGCCTAACATTTTGTCCTGCCCAGAAAGCAATAAGATCCTCTTATCTTGCGAGGCAAGTATCTTTCAACAGTAAGAGGCACTGACGGGATCTTCTGTAATCAGAATCGTGAGGCTAGGATGGTTTGCTGCCTTCCTGGTGCAAGGGTAGTGGACTTCACAGAGCTCATGGACAAGATTCTTTGGGGGGAAGGAGAATGTCCAGAAGTCGTGGTCCATGTGGGGACCCACAATATTGGTAAGAAGAGGACTGAGATGCTCCAGGGCGAGTATCAAAAGCTGGGGAGCAAACTCAAGTCCAGAACATCCAAGGTGGTGATCTCTGGGTTACTCCCGGTACCTCGGGCAACAAGGCACCATAATGAAAGAATCAGGCGCATGAACGATTGGCTGGAGAAATGGTCCGGAAAAGAAGGTTTCCGTTTTCTGGACAATTGGGACCACTACTGGGGGAGGTGGGATCTTTACCTTGAGGATGGGCGGCACTTAAGCAAGGCAGGGGTGAGCTTCCTTGCCAAGAGATTATCAAATGTTTTAGGGGTGGATTTAAACAAGTGTCAAGGGGGGTTGGGTATCCAAGGATAAACAATGGATTAGAGATTAGAGGAAAAAGACAAGTGGGAAGTTAGAGCAGGTACAAGCGGACAATTTCCTCAAATGCATGTACCTAAATGCACGTAGCTTAGGGAATAAGGTTGATGAGCTGCAGGTTCAACTGGCCATAGGGGGTTACGATGTGGTGGCAGTAACCGAGACATGGCTCAAGCCAGGACAGGAATGGGAGTTAAATATTCCAGGATATAATGTGTTCAGGAAGGATAGAGAAGGAAGAAAAGGAGGAGGGTGGCAATATTAGTTAAGGATACAATTATAGCTGTAGAAAGGAACGAGGCTCTGGAGGGCCCGACAACAGAATCCATCTGGTTAGAGATAAGAAATAAGAAAGGAGTAGTTATACTGATAGGGGTTTACTATAGACCACCAGACAGCGGGAAGGAGATAGAGGAGCAGATCTGCAACCAGATCGCGGATAGATGTAAGGCGAACAGAGTTGTGATAATGGGGGATTTCAATTATCCCAATATAGACTGGCAAAATAGCAGCGCTAAGGGCAAGGCAGGAGAAAGATTCATAGACTGTGTACAGGAAAATTTTCTTGAGCAGTATGTCTCCAGTCCTACGAGGAAGGAAGCATTGCTGGATCTAGTCCTGGGGAATGAAATAGGTCAGGTTGAACAGGTTTCGGTAGGGGAGCATCTAGGGGACCATAATATTATTAGATTTAGGTTACTCATGAACAGGGACAAAGTACAATCAAGGGTGAAAATGCTTGACTGGAAAAGGGCTAATTTTGATGGGCTAAAAAGGGACCAAGAGTTGGTGGACTGGCAAGTAAGACTAGCAGGTAAAACAACTCATGAGCAATGGGAGATCTTCAAAAATACGATAGCTCAGGTCTAAATAGATATATTCCCACAAAAGGGAAATGTGCGACAACCAAGCCAGCCTGGATGACCAGGGATATTCTGTCTAGGATGAAAAAGAAGAAGACGGCGTACGACAATTGGAAGACGCAAGATACTGAGGATAGCAAAGCGCATTATAGAGAATGCAGGAGTGATCTTAAAAGAGTGATAAGACAGGCTAAAAGATCGCATGAGAAGAGGTTAGCGGGTAACATAAAGGGGAATCCTAAAATATTTTACAAGCACATAAAGGAAAAAAGGTTAGTTAAAGTTAGGGTGGGGCCAATCAAAGACAATGACGGCAATCTTGTTGTGGAGGCAGAGGGCATGGCTGATGTACTGAACGAGTACTTTGCATCTGTCTTCACAACGGAAATGGATGCCCCAAATGCCGCAGTATTGGATGAGAGGGTAGAGGAAATAGATCAGATTACTATAGACAGAGAGGAAGTTCTGAAAAGATTGACTGGGCTCAAAATTGATAAGTCACCAGGACCAGATGGGTTTCACCCAAGGTTGCTGTGGGAGATACGGGTTCAAATAGCGGAGGCTTTGGCCATTATATTTCAATCTTCATTGGACACAGGAGTGGTGCCAAGAGACTGGAGAGTGGCTAATGTTACCCCACTCTACAAAAAGGGGCAGAAAGACAAACCCGGAAATTACAGGCCAGTCAGCCTAACTTCGGTAATAGGAAAACTACTGGAGACCGTAATCCGGGACAGAATAAATCTCTACTTAGAGGAACATGAGGTAATTAGAGACAGCCAACATGGATTTGTTAAAGGCAAATCTTGCCTAACAAATCTAATCGAATTTTTTGAAGAGGTGACTGCGAGGGTTGATGAGGGAAATGCGGTGGACGTTATTTACATGGATTTTAAAAAGGCTTTTGACACAGTACCGCATAAGAGATTAATAAAAAAATTAGAGGCCCACGGTATTAAGGGGACAGTGGCAGTTTGGATTAAGAACTGGCTGAGTGACAGAAAGCAGAGGGTGGTGGTTAATGGGTGTTTCTCGAAATGGAAGGTGTGCAGCGGTGTCCCCCAGGGATCGGTATTGGGACCACTGCTCTTTCTAATATATATTAATGATCTGGACTTGGGCATAGAGAGCACTATTTCCAAGTTTGCAGATGATACAAAGTTAGGTAGGGTAGTAAATAGTGAGGAGACTGTAACCAACTGCAAGCAGACATACACAGAATGGTGGAATGGGCTGACATGTGGCAGATGGATTTCAATGTGGATAAGTGTGAGGTGATACACTTAGGTAGGAAAAATGATAGGAGGCAATATAGACTTGGTAGCTCAATCTTAAGGGGGTGAACGTACAGAGAGATCTGGGTGTTCACGTAAGTGAATCATTAAAGGTAGCGGGGCAGGTAGATAAGGCAGTAAAAAAGGCATTTGGTGTACTGAGCTTTATTAGTAGGGGCATAGAGTATAAGAGTAGGGAGGTTATGGTTAATCTATACAAAACACTGGTTAGGCCTCAGCTGGAGTACTGCGTCCAGTTCTGGGCACCTTACTTCAGGAAGGACATTAAGGCACTGGAAAGGGTGCAGAGGAGATTCACGAGAATGATACCAGGAATGGGGAACCTTAGCTATGAGGACAGGCTGGAGAAGTTAGGACTTTTCCCATTACAGTAGAGAAGGTTACGCGGGGACCTGATAGAGGTCTTCAAGATCATGAAAGGTTTCAACAGGCTAGATAGGGAAAAGCTGTTTCCGCTGGTAGGTGACCCTTGGTCACAGTCTTAAGATATCTACCAAAAGAAGCAGAGGGGAGGTTAGAAGATTTTTTTTAGCTCAACGAGTTGTTCGAATTTGGAATGATCTGCCCGAAAGGGTAGTGAAGTCCGATTCGATAACAGCTTTTAAAAGAGAACTGGATAGGTATCTGGAGAAGACGGGTTTGCAGGGTTATGGGGAGAAAGCTGGTGATTGGGGTTAGTGAAAGTGACTTGCTCTGTCAAAGAGCCGGCACAGACTCGATGGGCCGAATGGCCTCCTTCTGTGCCGTAACATTCTATGAATCTATGAAAGTACTCTAACCACTAACAACAACAAAATGACATTTGTATAGCGCCTTTCATGTCGCTGTGAGTAGGGATCGGGGAGGGAGGAGGGCGGGGGGGAAGGAGGTCGAAGAAGTCTTGAGATGGAGGCAAGGCGGAGGGACTGCGAGATAGATTTCCAGAGGATGGAGGCAGAGTGGCTGAAGGCCTGGCCGCCAATAGCGATAGGAGTTGGAGAGGCCGACAAAGTTTGAGTAGTCGAGGTTGGATGTTATAAATGCGTGTATCAGGGTCTCGGCGGCCAGCGGTGTGAGGCAGTGGCGGAGCTGGGCGATGTTTCTTTAGTGGAGGAAGGCAGAATGGGTAATGGCACGGATGTGGGGTAGAAAGGACAGTTGAGGGTCAAACAAAACGACAAGGTTCCTGACTGGCTTGGTGAGGTGGAGTGTGCAACCATGGATGATGATGCTGCCAGTGCCCGAGGAGTGTAAGTGCTGACGGGAGTCAATCAGGAGAGCCTTGGTCTTGTTGACGTTCAGCTGTAGATAGTTAGCTATCGTTCAGGACTTGATGTCTGACAGACCGTCTGTCAGGACAAGTTACAGGACTCCACATTTACTGTCTCCCGCAAGATTACACAAACCCTTCTGATATGTGTTTTTCAAATATGTGTCAATGTGCACTTCCTCCTCCCCACAACTGTGTGGAAATCCAGATTTGTCATACCATCTCCTACTCAAATCTTAACTCATTCCTTCCACAGCTCTCTGTCTTTACTTCCTCCAACAAAACAACTTGAAAGGCAACAACCGCCCCTCACCCAGGACAGTGTCTTGAAGGGCTTAACAGTAGCAAAGCCTGACAAATGACTAACCTATTCTTAATGATTCCTTTTTATAAAAAAAAATCCAAGAATTTATACTCTGTTCATACTTTAACTTTCATCTATACTCGAGACTAGATTTCTCCAATATATTCCTTGCTGGCTTCCCTAGTTTTACACTTCATTGTGCTAACCGCTACAGGGCTGTTCATACTCTTGTGCATCAGGTTCTTCACAGGCCATCACACCTTTTCTTGCCAGGCTCCGCTGTCTCCCAATTCCCCAGTTTAACTGACTTTAAGGTCCTCTTCCTGATTTTCAAACTTTCAGTCTTCTCCTTGACTCTTACAATCTTCTCTACCCCATTGGCTGCCCCCACCCCACAAACTGAATTAGCGGTTGTAAAACGGGATTTCGGGAGCACCATTATTATACCATTATTGTGGAGTCCTGTAGCTCAGTGGTTAGAGCACTCGCTTTGCAAGCGAGAGACCTGAGTTCAATTCCCGGCAGGTTAGGGCGAAACCTTGGGCAAGTTTCCTTACTCCACACAGAGCCTAATAATAATCCCTCCAAAACCAAAAACAATAATAAATTGGTCATTTTCAATCTACGACTGTTTGTGGGACATTGCTGTGCGCAATTGGCTGCCGCGTTCGCCCACAAATATACAGTCAATTCACTTTGCAGTGTGTTCCGTGAAGCGCTTTGGGACGTCCTCCTGACGTGAAAAGCGCTATATCAATTGCAAGGATTATTATATTATTATCATACGGGAATCCCGGGATTGGCATATGGTGCTCCTGAAATCCCGGGATTGCATCCCTTAAACTTGACCACTCCCTCTCAGACTCCACCTCCTTACCTGCCCACTCATTGATTGCCCATTGTCATGGAGCACTTTGAGATGATCGCCTGTCTGACCGGCAGCTGCTGTATATTGTAACTAGTTGTAGTTTGAAGTTGTAACTTAAGTATTTACACATTTTTTCTTGCTTCATGAATTGTACAGGATTGGTTGTGTCTAGACATTGTTCGAAAATGCCCTATGGGCCTGATACAGTTGCTGTCATTGGGTGAGTGCTTAACTGACCGTGCCTCCACGGTCGTGTCTCTGCAATGCTTTTTTTTAAAAAAAGGGAATAGGCACTTCACACTTTTTGAAGGTGACCATAGTTAGGACTTGTGAAGACCTGTGCAGGATAAAGTGTCATTATAAAGAATTTGCAAATCCAGAATCCTCGTAGATTGCTCCTGTTGATTTTGTGTGCTATTTACCATAAACTCCTTGTGTCGCTTCAAGAGAAAAGAGCTCAGTGATTCTATATCTGGGATGTTTGTAGACACGAGTTCCACCAGGGACACTAGGGGGTCCTATGGCCAGCAAACATTGCACCTGTGCAGAGTGAGCAGAGCCTGTGTCAATGTGACAGAGTGGCCCGGCACCACAATTGTTAGTCTATTTGTTAAAACTCGCTCAAGTACAGTATAATTTTATGTGTAAGCATAGGTTTCTATAAAGCATTTTTTGGCTCATTTTAACAACCTGAATCACTCATGCAGATGATAACAATCAGGCAGAACCTTACAGAAGGCTAGGTCTAAAATTTCTTCTCGCAGAGATCATGCCACAAGTCCTGTAGCTCAGTGGTTAGAGCACTCGCTTTGCAAGTGAGAGACCTGAGTTCAATTCCAGGCAGGGCGAAACCTTGGGCAAGTTTCCTCACTCCACACGCCTAATAATAATCCCTCCAAAACCAAAAACAATAATAAATTGGTCATTTTCAATCTAAGACTGTTTGTGGGACATTGCTGTGCGCAATTGGCTGCCGCGTTCGCCCACAAATATACAGTCAATTCACTTTACAGTGTGTTCTGTGAAGCGCTTTGGGACGTCCTCCCGACGTGAAAAGCGCTATATCAAATGCAAGGATTATTATTATTATATTATTATAAGTCAAAACAGCTGCTGTGTGTGGTTTGGTGTGTGTCTGTGTATGTATACAGGTTTTGTGACTGTGTGTGTGTTTTGTGCGTGTGTGTGTACCTTTGGGTGTGTCTTATATGCACTTTTCTTTGTGTGTCTGGGTGTGTATGTGTTCTGTGCCTGTGTGTGTGTATCCATGTATATATTTATACAGGTTCTGTGCCTGTGTACATATGCGCCTCTTTCTGTGTTACACAGCAAATAGAAAGTACCAGAGCGTGGCTGCTATGAGTAACCAGGTTGAAAGGATAGTCTTAGTTGCTTTTCTAGGTCACTTTGCTATAATCGCTGGGCTGGGAGCCAGCAAAGATTTTCCTGAGTGGTACTGTTTCCAAATGTAAGATGCCCTTATTTGTTGATTAAAGGAAGCTAGACAGAGCTATCAGTACAACTTCTACAGCACACATTGTGTGTGTGTGGGGGGGGGGAGGAAAATATTGTATTTACATACGGGGGGGAATCATTTATTTATTTATAGATAGGGGAATTTATATATGGGAGGGCCTTATAGAAACATTGGGCAAGTTTCCTTACTCCACACTCCTCTGTTTACCTAGCAGTAAGTAGGAATCCCATTTTTAGTCGATTGGCGGATTGCATTTCCGGAATAATACTCCCTTTAAAAAAAATGTGGTTACTCAATCCACGACTGTTTGTGGGACACATTTGGCTACTGCGTTTCGCCAACAAAATATACAGTCAATTCACTTTACAGTATATTCCATGAAGCGCTTTGAGACGTCTTGAAGACCTTGTATGGCGCTTTATCAAATGCAAAGATTATTATATACCGGGAGGGGAAGGAAGTGTTTCTGGTATGTGTATTATGTATAAAATCCATGCATTTTGTATAATAATAATAATAATCCTTGCATTTTGATATAGCGCTTTTCACGTCTTCTAGACGTCCCAAAGCGCTTCACAGAATATATTGTAAAGTGAATTGACTGTGTATTTGTGGGTGAACGCGGCAGCCAATTGCGCACAGCAATGTCCCACATACAGTCATGGGACTCCACAAGTAATGCTTTTCACATTGGGAGGACATCTCAGAGCTTCACAAGTTTTACTGTAAAGTATAGAATATATCGGCAACAGTGTCCCACACAGCTCCGAAGCAATTGAAGGACACCACCTGTCGACAATGCAACATTCCCCCAGCACTGCAATGAAGTGTCAGCGTTGGTCCTGTGAGTTCAAGTCCCGACGTGGGGCTTGAACTGACAACCTTCCAAATCAGTGGTGAGTGCTACCAACTGAGCCTGGTTGACAATGAGCGAGCGTTGCACACTGGGAGCAAGCGTTTCTGTATTTATCTAGTTGGGCCATTAAGATGGTTGGACGACGAGTGTGTTTTTGTTTGGACCTGGCGGTGTTCCTATAGCTCCATTCTGACCCTTCTGTTGCTCCCACTCTTATCAGCAGGAGGAAAGGCAGTGACGGACGGCAGCCCCTTCCTATCAGAGGCCAATGCAGAACGAATTGTTAACACCTTGTGTAAGGTGCGAGGAGCTGCCCTGAAGCTGGGTCAGATGCTCAGTATTCAAGGTAAAAATCCTGGAGTTTGACAGCACTGAAACAGCCCACCCAACCCATCGTACCTAGGCTAGTTCTGTTATTCGTTGATTGAACTTGCCTTTCTAAAAACTATTGGGATTCTCCTTTACTTCACGACCTGACAATCTTCTGTGTAAAAAGAAACCCTCTAATCCCTCACAGCTGTTGTTTTCTGACCACTATACATTTTATGCTGCCACTCACAACCTGACCTTCCTGGGCGAAACAATTGGGAGGCCGGCACCTTGAGCGAGTCGGCTTCCCTCATGTAGGATGACGCTGGCATTTCACTGATGCACTGATCGAGATTCCTCTGTTTGGACAGCTGTACACACAGCCACAACCCCCTCCCCTCATGGGTAACAGTCATCTGTGGAGTCCTGTAGCTCAGTGGTTAGAGCACTTGTCTCACAAACGAGAGCGACCTGGCTTTGAATCCCGGCAGGGCGAAACGTTGGGCTAGTTTCCCTACTCCCTACGCCTCTGTTTACCTAGCAGTAAGTAGGAACCCAGTTGTTAGTCGATTGGCGGATTGTTTTCCGGGGGTAATAATCTCTTCAAAACAAAATAATAATAATTTGGTCACTGAATCCACGACTGCTTGTGGGACACTGTTGTGCCCAGTTGGCTGCAACATTTTGCCCACAAAATATATAGTCACTATGCATTACAGTATATTCTGTGTAGCACTTTGAGATATCTCGGATAACGTGACAAGGCGCTATATGAAATACAACAATTATTATTAGTATCTTGGCTGGTATCCTCTCCCCTCCCCTGTTCCTGGTTAGAGCAGAGTTCAAATTGGGAATTTATGGAGGGGGGAGACAGCGATGGGTTGTGGGGGACCCTTGCTGCTATCAGAGTTGGTCTCTGTGCAGTAACTGCTGCTTGTCAGGTTAACATGTTTTTTGTTATTTGCCTTCCCCGCACCCAGATGACGCCTTCATCAACCCACAGCTGCAGAAGATCTTTGAGCGTGTGCGACAGAGTGCTGACTTCATGCCTACGAAGCAGATGTTGGTGAGTGGGGGTGAGGCAGTTTGTATGGTGGGAGGGATTTGGAAGACAGGGTGCGGGGGGGAGACTGCGAAATGGGGTGTGGGATGGGGGGGCAAGGCGGTGGGTGGGGGAGTGGGGAAGTTATGGGTGCTTTATGTAGCAGCTTATGAGCATAAGCTGGAGTTTTTCTTTCTTTCCATGTAACTCTCAGAAGGTGCTGAGCAATGATCTGGGTCCCGGCTGGAGAGATTTGCTGGAGTTTTTCGAGGAGAGGCCTTTCGCTGCAGCATCCATCGGGCAGGTTCATCTGGCAAAGCTGAAGGACGGGAGAGAAGTGGCCATGAAAATCCAGGTGGTGACACCTTCCGTTGGAAGATTCCTTTCCGGTTCCTCAGTACAGCTTTCTGCAGAAGAAACGAGACCATTGTAACTGTAGCCCTGGCCTCGGCTCGTTTCCCCCGCAACTCTCTCCCCTCTCCCTCACCCGCAGTACACCCCTCTTCCCCCCCCCAACGCCAATACTGATATGGTTCTATTCCTACCCACAGTACCCTGGAGTGGCTCAGAGCATTGGCAGTGATGTGGACAATCTGATAACTGTGTTGAACATGAGTAATGCACTCCCTGAAGGTAGGTCACTGATATAACCAACAACAACAAGTTACATTTGTATATATATAATGTCTTTCACATCAGGAGGACGGCCCAAGGAGCTCTCACCCCTTGCTAACCAAGGAATAAATTCAGAACAAATCTGTGACAAACACAACTTCAGTGAGTGAGCAGTAAATGGAACAGGCTCCCTCCAGAGATGGTGGAAGCAGAAAGTGTTGTTTGTTTCTGCTAGAAAATCATATCTTGGGATACAACATATAGTTTGGGACACGGCATGTCAAGATGGACCTTGGTCTTTCACCCCAGCTGATTCTTATGTCCTTAAGGAATAGCAAGGGATGAGGCTGCCTGGTTGGGTGAGTAGGGAGAGTTTTGTTTGAACATGAGGATTAAGCTTCAGTATAGGGATTATGTTCGGAAATTCTTTAATTTATAAGCGTGGCAATGTTTGTGGATTTTCCAAGATTGAAAAGCACTTGTCTCTCTCTCTCTCTGTTTGACTGCAGGTCTGTTCCCTGAGCACGTGGTGGATGTGATGAGTCGCGAGCTGTCCCTGGAGTGCGATTATGAAAGGGAAGCTGCCTGTTACAAGCAGTTCAGGTGTGTAAGCCCACGGTTCCCTCCCTCCTCAACCCCTCACCCACTCAGCTTGGTGTCCAGCAACAGCTTTGTAAACACGCCAAGACATTCTGTGTGAAGAGACGCTGTGTAAATGCAGGTGGTGTGCTTCCATTATATGTGAGAATGTTTGTGTTGGAAGACAGTAAGGGGTCCCACTCCCATTATCTTTGCTGTGACGTTTTCTCTATCCCTTGCTCTCCCTACCCCTTCCCTGTCTTGCTGTGGGGATTCCAAAGAGCTGACAGAGGCACGATGGGCCTCCTGCTGTGCTGGGATTGCTCTGTGTGTGTGTAAAGGTTTAAAAGTTGAGGTTTTTAAAATAATAAAGGGATTCGATATGGTAGCTACAGAGAAACTATTCCCTCTGGTGGGGGAATTCAGAACAAGTGGGCATAATCTTAAAATTAGAGCTAGGCCTTTTGGAGTGAAATCAGGAGGAAGTTTTTCACCCAACGGGTAGTGGAAATCTGGAACTCTCTCCCGCAAAAGGCTGTGGATGCTGCATCCATTCACATCTTCAAGACTGAGGTGGATAGATATTTGTTAGTATTAAGGGATATGGGGCTAAGGCGAGTAATTGGAGTTGAGGTACAGATCAGCAATAATCTTATAGAATGGTGGAACAGGCTCGAGGGGCTGAATGGCTTACTCCTGTTCCTATGAAAAGAATTGTAGGCATAATCACTGTGACCTTGCTCTCGGAGAGGAGGTGGGGGCGGTTCCCTAGGTCATAGCGGGCAAGTTCATTTGTTTATAGCAGGATATATTTACAGCTATTTATAACCCGATTGCTGAGGTATTCACAGCTCGTGGGGAGAAAATTCTTAGGTAAGTTTAATAATAGCAGGATCCAGTTGACCTCAACCCTCTTCCTGTGATGGACAAGACCAGCAGTGCAGTGCCTCTGGGGCTGTGGAAACATAGAGACACCTTCTGTCCTTTCATAGAATAGAATCATAAGAATATTACAGCACAGCAGAAGGCCATTCGGCCCATCGTGTCTCTGTTGGCTCTTTTGAAGATCTACCCAATCAGTCCCACTCTCCCGCTCTTTCTCCATATTCTTGCAAATTTTACCTATCAAGTTCCCTTTTGAAAGTTGTTATTGAATCTGTTACCACCAGCCTTTCAGGAAGTGCATTTCCGACTAATAACTGTAAAATTCTCCTCATCTCCCCTCTGGTTCTTTTGCTAATTATTTTGAATTTATGTTATCTAGTTACTGCCTTTTTATTTCTGTGTAAAATATTCATTGAGTAAAGCTGGTTTGGCATAGGCATAGATGAAGTAGGTCAGGAGGAAAACCACCTCTTTCTTTGGCAGCTGAGAGGAAATGGAGTTAATTCTTGGGGTCTAGAATTTTACCCAGTCTTTGGCTGTGGAACCAGTTTATCTTATAAATTTAAGGTCATGCCAAGGTGGAATTTCAGTTCAGCAATGGAGATGCCTGGTAGTGGAGTCCTGTAGCTTGGCGGTACTCGCCAAGAGTACTAGAGTACTCGCTTCGCAAGCAAGAGGACCTGGGTTCAATTCTCGGGCAGGACGAAATGTTGGGCAAGTTTCCTTACTCCACGCACCTATTTACCTAGCAGTAAGTAGGAACCCGGTTCTTAATAGATTGGCAAATTGCTTTTCCCTTCAAAATAATAATAATTTGATCACTCAATCTACACTGTTACACTGCTGTGAGTAGTTGGTTGCCCCGTTTCGCCCACAAAACATATAGTCAATTCACTTTACAGTATAATAATAATAATAATCCTTGCATTTGATATAGCGCTTTTCACGTCGGGAGGACGTCCCAAAGCGCTTCACAGAACACACTGTAAAGTGAATTGACTGTGTATTTGTGGGCGAACGCGGCAGCCAATTGCGCACAGCAATGTCCCACAAACAGTCGTAGATTGAAAAATGACCAATTTTATTATTGTTTTTGGTTTTTGGAGGATTATTATTAGGCTCTGTGTGGAGTAAGGAAACTTGCCCAAGGTTTCGCCCTTGCCTGGAATTGAACTCAGGTCTCTCGCTTGCAAGAAGCGCTTTGAGACATCCTGAAGATGTGAAACGGTGTGATATCAAATGCAAGGATTATTATAGTAGAGCAGTGAGGGAGGAACAGATGGGTTGCCCGCTTGCTGGATCCTGTAGAGAAGAATTATGTGATTTTCTTCAAAGCATGTGTCACAATGTGCAGTGGGTTTGGTGAGGTGCTGTAAGCATTCTTCTGAGCTGAGGTGCTGTTTTGCCTATTCAAATAATTCCCCCACAATGCTTTTGGAAAAAGTTTCCTTAGTCCACACAAGAAGGCAGTTTCTCCCAGTGTCCAGCCCAACCCAACTCAATAATCCTCTACATTAATTTTGGTTATTCATTGTTTTTATAACGGTTTGTGGGGCTCTGCTGTACGAAAATTAGCTCCCTTGTTTGCCTGCAAAAAATGTTACTACGCTTGACAGCATTGACTCTGTGTTAAATGCAAGGAACATTATATGAGAATATAAGTGAGAGGACCTGGGTTCAATTCCTTACTCCACACACCTGTTTACCTAGCAGTAAGTGGGAACCCGGTTGTTAGTCGATTGGCAGATCACTTTTCAGGGCATAATAATTCCTTTTTTTAAAAAAATGTGGTCACTCAATCCACAACTGTTTGTGGGACACTGCTCTGCGCAATTGGCTGCCGCGCTTCGCCTACAAAATATAGTCAATTTAATATATTCCGTGAAGCGCTTTGAAACGTCTCGAAAATGTGATAAAATGCTATATCAAATGCAAGTATTATTTATTTAATAAATTTAATAAAATTATTTATTTAATAATACTTGCATTTGATATAGCGCTTTTCACATCTTCTAGACGTCTATTACTATATTTATTATAATATAGTAAATCATTGACTTTATAGTGTATCCTGTAAAGCACTTTGGGGCATCCTCCTAATGCGAAAGTTTTTATATCAAATGCAAGGATTAATTATTATTAATAGTAATAATTAGCAATATAATTGTTTAACCTGTTCTGTAATGTCCCCCTCCCCAGGGAGCTTGTGAAAGATGATCCCTATTTTTATGTCCCGACTGTGATTGATGCGCTGAGCAACAGGCACGTGCTGACCACTGAGCTGGTGCCTGGATTCCCCCTGGACAAGGCTGAGAACCTGAGCCAGGAGATCAGGAACGAGGTGAGCACTGGTCATGGCTAATGTCAAAGTTTCGCTGGGCTGGTTAAGTTGGCAGCAGTCTCGCCTGTGGGTCAGGAGGTCTTGCCAGGCTCCACTGGCTCCCATTTACTGAACGGATCGATTGAAAGATCCTTTCACTCATTTTCAAATCCCTTCATGTCCTGGCACCTGCCTACCTCTCTGATCTGCTTATCCCCCAGTCCACCAACCGCTGCCTCAGCTCGGCTAGCTCTGGCCTCCTGTTTGTCCCTCGCCCCCTTCACTCCACCATCAGTGGCTGTGCCTTCAGCTACAACGCCCCAAAACTCTGGAACTCTCGCCCTTAATTCTTAAGCCTTGCCCCTTCCTCCCCACTTTCAAATTCCACCTTTTTGATTGTGCTTAGCGTCACCTCATTCCTCCCTCTTACCCTGGCTCGTGCTTCAGACTCCGCCACTGTACATGTGTACAGCCAGCCCGCTTACGTCTTGTATATCAGCTGGCTGTTCCTGCTAAAATGGCAGACATTGGAATCACTTCTTGCACACTATCTATATGTACAGGAGTCCTGTAGCTTAGTGGTTAGAGCATTAGCCTCGCAAGCAAGAGGACCTGGGTTCTGTTCCCAGGCAGGGCGAAACGTCAGGCAAGTTTTCGTATTGCCGCGCATCTGTTTACCTAGCAGTAAGTAGGAACCTAGTTGTTAGTTGATTGGTGAATCGCTTTTCCGGGGGTAATGATCCCTTCAAAAATAAAAAATAATTGGGTTACTCAATCCACCACTGTTTGTGGGACACTGCTGTGCGCAATTGGATGCCGCGTTTCGCCCACAAAATAGATAGTCAATTCACTTTACAGGACAGTCTGTGAAGTGCTTTGTGACATCTTGAAGATGTGAGATATCAGATTTAAGGATTATTATTATACAGACCAGGGAAGGTCCCGCATTAATGTCTTGGCTTCACTGAGTTGATTTCAGAGCTCGGGGCAGTTGTGCAAAGTGTTGGTATTTTAATGTCCAATTGTTGCCTGTTTAAGAAGCACGACTGCAGTTGCTGCGCTTGAGCTGACCATGTGCTTCTGTTTCAGATCAGCTACAACATCCTGCGTCTGTGCCTCAGGGAGCTTTTCGAGTTCCGCTTCATGCAGACAGACCCCAATTGGTCCAATTTCTTCTATGACCCTGAGACCCATAAGGTGTGTGTTGGTGTGTGTCGGAGCGGTTGGTGTGTGTCAGACTCCAATTGGTCCAATGTCTTCTATGACCCTGAGACCCATATGGTGTGTGTTGGTGTGTGTCAGGGAGCGAGTGGTTTTCAGTTGTTTATGGGTGTGGTGCAGGCCGGGAGTAATAAATGAGTGATAAATCTCTCTAGGCTGATCCCTGTACACGGAAGTAACAGCAGCTCTCTGTGGAGGTCAGTCACAGCGACTGGCACCATTGAATAGCCGTTCACGAGGCTCCTATTGCGAGACGTACCTCAGGAAATTTTTTTCTTAAAATTCTGTTTGCAGTTAAAAGAAGATGGTTCAGTGAGTTCATCCAATAGGTCCTGTAGCTCAGCGGTTAGAGCACTCGCCTCGCAAGCCAGATGACCTGAGTTTGATTCCCAGGCAGGGTGAAACATTGGGCAGGTTTCCTTACTCCACACACTTGTTTATCTAGTAGTATGTAGAAACCCAGTTGTTAGTCGATTGGTGGATCGCTAACTGGGTGTAATAACCTCTCAAAATAATAATGAAAATAATAATTTAGTCACACAACTGTTTATGGAACACTGCTGTGCACAATTGGCTGTCGGATTCCCCCACAAAACATAGTTAATTCACTTTACACTATATTCTGTGAAGCGCTTTTAGAAGTCTCAAAGAAGTGATAAGTCTCAATATCAAATACAAGGATTATTATAGCCTTGAGGAGGACAGGACCTGCACCTCACCCATTCCCTGTCAATCAGTGAGAGGGGTGGGAGGAGAAAAAGAGTTTGGTGCTCATCTCGCTGAGTTGTGCCTCTCCCCCTGAGCTTTGTGGTTGGGTAGGTTCACTTTAAATGAAGTCATGCTGGAGAATCAACCTTGTTTATCTGTTCCTCTCTCTGCACCTAGGTGGCGCTGCTGGACTTTGGAGCAACCAGAGGCTTTGATGAAGATTTCACCAACCATTATATAGAGGTACAAAGCTTTCCACCAACCAGCTGGTTTTAAAACCAAATGAAGCTTATATTTAGAAAGTGAATAAACTGATGGAAAGGGATCTTGACCATTTATTTAGGCTCTGACTAAACTTAAACAGCAGTTATCAAAAGATAGAGTAAACTTGTTTCTACTAATAATGTATGAAGAGATTCTGATGTGCAATGATTCCGATGTGAAGTCTGTCTCTTCCGTACACCAATAATATTTTCATTCCAACCTGTGCAGGTGATTCGGGCTGCAGCCAATGGAGACAGAGAGAAGGTGCTGAATAAATCAATTGAGATGAAATTTCTGACTGGCTATGAGACTAAGGTAAAGTATGCGTCTATATGGTGACAGATCAACAGACATTGTTTATGAATATGTCAACCAGAGTAATGGGAGTAATGCAGCCAAAAACACCAATGCTGTTGCCAGACTCTGCTGGCTCTCATTTCCCCAACAGATTAACTTTTAAGATCTTCAGAATTTCCGACCGCAGCTGTCACGCCATCTCCTTCCACCTGCGTCCTTGTTTTTCAGACTTTGCTTTACTGTTCAATTCCTGATTCCCTCCAATCCAAAATGGCACTTTGAAACTCTTTCCCCCCCATCTCTTTCCCTCTTTACCTTCACAACCCTCTCTCAACTGTGTCTTTGGTTAAAACTCCATGCATGATGCTCCTGTAAAGTGCTTTGTAAACAATTCATCCTCTGGGAAAGCTGATAAAAAGTGTAATTATAGGGGTCAGCTGGTAGCACTCTCACCTCTGAGTCAGAAGGTTGTGGGTTCAAACCCCACATTGGGACTTTGAACTCAGACTGACGCTCCAATATAATCTGTGGGGGAGGGGGGAGGTCAATGCTGCCTGCTTTTTTAGGTGTTTGTTAAAGTTTCCCTGGCACTGTTTGAAAAGAATAGAGTTTCGCCCACTGTCCTGGAAAACAATTCCCCATTCGCTTCATGGCTGTTTGTGAGACATTTGTGTTTGCCTACAAATACACACAATCACTACATTTCACAGGATTTACCTTGAAGTGTTTTGAGACCTCCTCCCCCTCCACATTACAGATCCATCAAATGCAAGAATTATTATATTGGCACATATTTAAACAGAATCATGATGGTCGTATGCCTAACGCATGTTGAGCAGATATATAATGTATAATATATAGCCTTGAGGGAGTCACTGACCCCATTAACTGCTGGACCTCCTTATGCCTTACGCTCAGTGTAGTGCCATTGAACAAAGATTATAGGGAAAAGAAGACAACCTTGAATACAAAGGAGACAATATTATACAAACAAGATCTTGTGCCACTTTGTGTGCAGTTTTGGAAACCCATTATAGAAAAGCTATGAATACAACAAAAGTATAAGAAGTATTAGCTCGGAAGTTTAAAAAAAAAGTTTAAAAAGTTTGGGCCTTTTAATATTTTTTTATTATTTTCGCTAGAGCTGAAAAGGTTAAGGTGGGGGGGAACCTGATGAAGATCTTTAAGATTATAATATAATATATAATATATTATAATACCTTTCACATTGTCTGTGTCAAAGTGCTCAGAATTTACTATAAAGTGCACTTAGTAACTGCTGGTGAACACAGCAGCCAATTTGTGCATAGAAAATGTGCCTGCCACAAACAGCCATGAAGTGATAACCAATTTTATTTGGAGTAGTATTGGCCAGGACACCGAGTGCCATGGAATCTTTTAACGTTTACCTGGATAGACAGATGAGACAGTTTAACAGTTTATTGAAAGGCACCAGTGCAAACATGTTGCTAATGGCCCTTTTCTGTGCTGTAACATCCTACTTCCTCATCTGTCCTGATGACATTTTATAAATACCGTGTTCAGTTCAAAATGCAAACCATTGTCTTTGTGTTTTAAATCCAGACAATGAAAAATGCTCACGTTAACGCAGTGATGATTTTGGGAGAAGCTTTTGCCTCGAGCGAGTTGTTTGATTTTGGGGCTCAGAGCACAACCAAGCGCATTCACGGCCTGATCCCCATCATGCTGAGGCAGCGGCTCATCCCACCCCCGGAGGAAACCTACTCCCTTCATCGTAAAATGGCAGGCTCCTTCCTGATCTGTGCCAAGCTACAGGCCAAGGTGTCTTGCAAGGATTTGTTTGAGGCTGCCTATGCCAATTACTGGAGCAAACAGTCTAACAAAGGCACCAGCAACCAATGAGGAGAGTGACCCAGGGAGACAGAGACAGGAAAGACAGGTGGTTGGACCAGTTGGTCAAAGTATTCCTAATTAGAGAGCTGGTCCAAACGTTACCAGTTAATAGTCACTAGACTTGACAGTAATCGCCAGTGAAGCGCTTTGAGGAGTTCCGACATGAAAAGGCGCTGTATTAAATGTGAGCATTATTTTTCAAACATTTCTTCATCCCATTTCCTGTTTAAAGGAATTGTGGCTACAAAGATACAAGGTACTGCATGAGTGATGCAGTGAATCTTTGATGGAAAAAGTTTTTTTCTCAGTGGGCATACATACATAGGGGAAATTTATTGTATTAAAAAAATCTGAATTTGTACGATACTGCAGTGAGAAAATAATAAGTTACTGGATAATTTTAGTGGGAATGGGGTTCATAATAGGGTGGGGGGGGGCAGGGAGAGGAAGGGGAAAAGATTTGCAAAGGATTCAGAAATAGACCGTCACCCTGGCCTCAGGAACTCCACTCTGAATAATTTCAGACAAGCTGATGTCAGAGTTCCTGTGGGGTTAATGGTGGGTTTGGATAGATAGGATCTGCTGCAAATCCAGGCTGCAAATTGCGTGTCTTAGATCTCAGTGCACAATGACATTTTTTTATTACCTGCTACTACGCTGATTCAATAAAAGCAAGCTGGTGGTTTAAATTGTATGATGTGGCTGGTTTTGTGGGTGACCTTCTGATGGCGGTGCACTGTCACAAAAACAATACAACTCAGAATTTGGGTAAGAGACAAGCCCTGTGGCTCAGCTGGCTGGGACACTCGTGACAGTCAATCCAAGGCACTGTTGAGCATGACTGGCTAATTGGTTAGACTCAGAGGTGCAGACGTATTCTCAAGCACTCGCCTCACAAGTGAGAGACTTTGGTTCGATTCCCAGGCAAGGCGAAACATTTCCTTACTTCATGTGCTTCTATTTAGTAGAAGTAAGTAGGAGCTGGGTTGTTAAGTCATTATTATGTTTAAAATTATTATGTTTAAAAATGTATTTATTATTTTGAAGCAATTATTTCCCCCAGAAAAACGATCCATCGATTGATGGATCGTTTTTCTGGGGGAAATAATTGCTTCAAAATAATAAATACATTTTTAAACATAATAATTTGGTCACTCAATCCACGACTGTCTGTGGGACACTCCTGTTCTGCTGCGTTTCACCCACAAAATAGTTGATTCCGTTTATATTTGTGAAGCCCTTTGATACATCTTGAAGATGTGATTAGGTGCTTTATCAAATACATTGATTCTTGTAAGATTTAATTTACAGGGCAATTCAATTGCTCCAGTATTTTGCAAAAATTGATCATAACTTCTGATGTCCCCAATGGAGTAAAAGCAGAAACCCCTACACATAGGAATGCTTCTCGGCCCATGGACCTCTATAAGAATTCTACTCAAGCAACTTAACCACCAGAACATCAAAAATATTTCTAGTGGCCCACCAGAAACCTAAAATATGAATTGGTAGAGAAGCACAAGACACTGCTGCTCAATTCATAACCTGTTTTTGTACTTAACAGAAGAGATTACACTTGGTAGGTTACATAATTAACATCCAAAACACTGACATTTAAAATTGAATGAACACGGAAGAATGGGACAGAGAGCTTTGAATCTTCCCACACCCAGTAGTATCTTTGGATAAGAGGCAAGCCCTGTAGGTCAGCTGGCTGAGGACATTCATGACACAGTTAATCTAAGGCACTGTTAAGCATAACTGGCTAATCGGTATGTGGATATGGATATAACCTGCACTAGTATATGGAAAGTTGGGCTCTTGCCAACAATCCCTCAGACAGAATTAGTCATTGAATTCGTTGGTAGTTGGTGTGAATTGCTGTGCACAATTTCTGTGAAACACTTTGAGACAATGACAATGTAACAAGGCATATCAAATGCAAGTATTATTATTTGCATGAAGGAACCTAAAGATTTATTATAAAATTGAGATCCAAATAATTAGCTTATTTTGCATCAGTGCCATTTTGACTTGTGGCCTACCTTTGAACGGACAACTCACAGTGGCTGCCATCCAGTTTCCTGGCTTTTCCTCTGATTCCAGTGCCATGTGTTACTCCAGTGACTCCCACTAGAAGCTGCGGTCTTCTTCTCCAGGCTCAGCGCTCAGGCCAAGCGAGCACCTTAGTCATCAGAACATCAAATTTCTAGAAGTGACATCTCCATGCAGGCCATGAGGCATGAAGGTCCATTTCACCCACAAAATATACAGTCAATTCCCTTTACAGTATATTCTATGAAGCGATTTGAGACGTTTCAAAGAAGTGATAAGGCAAGGCAAATGCAAGGATTATTATTATACATCAGTGATCTCCAGGCTCAATACTAATGTCAGACCAATCCTTATTATTGATCAGAGTCCAACTTTAACGGGGTAGAAGGAAAACGGGATTTAGTTGGAGAACAGACAGACACCCTACTCCACTCCATACCTCCCCTTCCCCAACCGCCCCGCACACTTTGTTTACCACCATTGTAGTTTACCCCCTAAAATCACAAAGAATTTCAGCCATCACATCTGTAACAGTTCCCTGTTTTATTGAAATACATCAAAGTCCAGGTTAATATTTAATGTGTGTTACCAACATAAAATAGTGGCGGTTAGTCTTTTATAATCCGACCGGCCACCTTAAATATTCTTGTGCAAAAGAATCTACATCAGCAGAGTTTCTCTTACAAATAAACCCCTAAAACATTAAGGGCAAAAAGGAGTGATAAAGCCAAGCAATTCTGTATCCAGTCAGCCGTGATCCTAAACAAAAAAACAGTACTCTTTATTAAAAAAAACTGATTACATCTATGACATGCAAACCTGTACAATAATCTTACAAAAGAAAAATACCTAAAAACTTTGAAAATAGATGATATGAAATTGTCATACATAAAAGGCAGGTCAACCAACCCCCTGATAACCAAAGATAACCACTGAAATGCCAAATACTGGTAATTCGCAGGTGATTGTTCTCCCATCCCTTATTCACACAGTTTCTCACACAATGATGGGTACATATTACAGCAGAATTTGACAGCAGGTTAACTTCCTCTTCCTCATTTTCCTAAATCTGTACATCTAATTCAATGGAAAGGAAGCACCCTTTCTTTTCCCTCTCTCCCTCCCACAACCACAACACCCATATACCTTTACTGCCGTCTAGAAATGTCTGAAAGCAACAGCTGGAAGAAAGCAGTGACTTGTACTGCAACCACAGCTTCACTGCTGTCACAGTCCTCTGCTCACACCTGGAGCGAGTGCTCCAGAGTAGGAGTCCTCTGCTCTTCCTCCTGCAATTTGTGTTCCTCTTAAAAAGAACAGATCCCACCAGCAGGAGAGAACTTGAATTCCCCAAACCAATACCTTGAAACGCCTTTAGAAACAAGACCGTTTTACATCAAGTCTCATCTCAAATCAATCCACACCTCAGCCCACATGCGTCTCAGTACTTGAAACCTCAGCATTTTCTGTATTCCTCCCTCCCACAGGTATTCTATGCCCCCTCTTACAGAAAGCAATACACCACAGACCTGGTCACACAAAAGAAGCTTTGTTTTGGGGGAGAGGGTTGGAACAGAGTAAGCACTGGTGGCACAACACATCTGCTTTAAATATTCAGTCATGTTTCTTTATCTTAAATACCCCCCCCCCCCCATATACAGAAGAGGGGGGGATGTGGGTTGAGGTGAGAAGAGAGGGATTTTGTCTTCAAATCTGCTACAGAGGTGAGCAAAGCACAAACCCATTTCACTACAGCAGGATCTGTGGCATTGAATCAAACGTCGCCCTTTATGGAGATAAATGGGACAATGCCATAGCTGAAGCCGAGACGTCCAGTTTCAGCTGAAACAAGATGTATGAAAGCTCAGCTTTTTGTTTCCTTGTTGAAACATGCAAACAATTTTTTTGTCATATGCTCCACCGTTCTTGTGCAGGTAATTTTTACAAAAAATGGCAGCTTGAGTTGCTGTTTCTATATGTTATGTGTTGGGCTTTTTTTTGTGTCGTTAAATTTCAGCTGCGTCTTGGGCACTACGTTTAAGAACTACAGAATCTACCAGCAGAGACCGTGACACCACACGCAGCACCTCGTAACCATCAGGTGCTACCACAAAAAGTTTTAACAAGTAAAACTATACACAACTTTATATATATATACTTTATATATATTCTATATCACAAAGATTTTTTTTGTTTTTTTTAGTAAAATAACTTTTGGTGATTCTGGTTGCCGATGTACGCACGCTGCGATTGCAAAATAAGATGAAAACAGAAGCTGGACCCCAATACCTGAAGTAAAGCTGGAGATTTCTCGTGCTTTTTTCCCCCCTGGAGTAGATTGTGGCCGAGAGAGAGATAGACAGGAAAATAAAAGTTATATTTCTCTCTCAAACTGCCGTCAAAAAGGGTGGCGATTGTTACAGGTACCAACCATCTGTTGAGAGTGAACCAGCAGAAAACAATACCATAAGATCAGTTACACGGCTTAACCAAAGACCCATTGATAGGGCACCCTACGTCCACAAAAGACCCTCTAGAGAGTAGCTAGTATTGTCAATGGGTAAAAGGAGAGAAAAAAATATTTTTCCTTCCCCCCCTTCTTTTGAAAAGCTCCAATGGCCAAAGCGCAGAAATCCATTTATTACATGTCACACCATCAGGTCTGGTCCTTGGCTCCACGTTGCGTCTGGGGAGGGTGGTGGGTTAGTGGGTTGGTGGGTGGGGGAGAATGGGTGGTAAGGGATCTTCAGTGCCTTGTTTGGCACAGGTTCACGTGGGTGTTGCTCAGGAAAAGGAATGATATACAGGACAGCGAGGGTGGAGTGAGAGCTTAGTTTAGTTTTGGGAGGTTTTCTGGACCTGTGCAGCTCATGTCTCCCAGCTCCCGTGGTCTGTGCTTTCCAGCAGAAGGGCTTGTGGCTTGTGAGGTGAGACGGGGCTGGGTGGGCTGCTCAGGTTGGAGCTGTTGGAGGCTGTAGAGTGTCGAGGGGAATCGGAATCCTGAAAAACAAAAAACAGCACCATGTAAATGATAATAAATAATAATCATTTGATATAGCACCTTAACACATCTCAGAGACATCCCAAAGCTCTTCACACATTATACTGTCAAGTGAATTGGGAGAAAAGTGGCAGCCAATTGTGCACAACTGTGTCCCACATACAGTCGTGGATTGAGTGACCATGTTATGATTATTTATTTTATTTATTACTCTTGGGAGGGATTATTACCCCTGGAAAAAGATACAAATTAAAATGGACCACACGGAAGGCATTAATTCAAACTTCGCAATAGATTATCAAACCATTTTCGCTCCTTTTACTCCAGTCACAATCCACATTGTTTTTAAAATTAAGCCAAATTAGGTTGACTGAGGTAATGAAAGCCAACGATGAGAAATCAACTGATGGATGATGAAGAAAGAGATACTTGTGAATGAGACATACTGAAGGGGAGGGAAATAACTGCTGTGGTGAGAAGCAGATCTGAGTGCAGTTGCTCTATGTACACTGGAGAGGACTGAAGGGCTGTAAAAATGACAATGAATGGAAAAAGATATTAAAACCCAAATTACATCGCGTTCAAACTCCCTTGTTGGCACATCGCTTCCAGGATCCATCCCACCAGACGATAAGGAGCCATCAGACGGGGAGGTCATTGGCTGACGCTTGGCGGCATAACTACTCCCTGAGAATTCCCTTCGGAGAGCACTTCCATTCTGTGCCGACGATCCTATGGGAACGAGATCGAGAGAAATGTGAAGCAGCGACATAGACAACAACTTGCATTTACACAGCGCCCTTCACATGGGGGTAGCGCCTGGTGCGCTTAAATCTCACAAAACAGTCGTGGATTGAGTGACCAAATTATTATTTTTTAGACAACCAATGTATGGTGCACTGTTCAAATACGCTATAGGTCGGCTCATGGGGTCAGTCACACAGCTAGGTCTCATAGAATGGAAGCTGAGGACCACACATTAACCAGGAGAGATTATAAAACGGGTTGGGGATATCACAGATATCACAAAACACACAGTCAATTTACTTTACAGTATATTCTGTGAAGCGCTTTGAGACATCTAAAAGACATGGTATATATCAAATGCAAGGATTATTATTATTATTATCATCATCAATTAGCGATTCCTGAGGTCTGATTTTCCACTGACTGGAGTTAACAAACAATGAGCTGTTAATGTTTCTCAGGACGTTTGAAGCAGTTCAGGGGCTACTTACTTGAAGAGAGGCCGCTGCTGGCACTCATGGAGCGGCCTGGCTCAGTGCGGGAGCGGGCGATGGCGGGAATACTGACAGAAGCACTAAACATGGTCCGACTCTTTTCATCCGGTGGCCGCAGGTTCTATATGGGTACAAAATCAAAGCAGAAAAGGAAACAGCTATCACAAAAAGTGGCATTAAAGCAATATGTCCAATATGTCCTCAGAAGGTTATGCATCTACTGTGAGATGAATAAATTCCAGGCTAGATGATACAAGGCAGCCTCAGCGTGCAGTGACAAACTACTGAGCTGACAATCTTGGCTGTACTGTTATAATAATAATAATCCTTGCATTTGATATAGCACCTTATCACGTCTTCGAGACATCTCAAAGCGCTCACAGAATGTACTGTAAAGTGAATTGACTGTCTATTTTGTGGGCGAAACATGACAGCCAATTGCTCACAACAGTGTCCTAAGCAGTCGTGGATTGTGACCACATTGTTTTTTGAAGGGGTTATTATCCCCGGAAAAGCGATCCGCCAATCTACTAACAACCAGGTTCCCACTTACTGCTAGGTAGAAACAAAGGCCTGTGGAGTAAGGAAACTTGCCCAACGTTTCGCCCCTGCCTGGGAATCGAACCCAGGTCGGCTCACTTTTTAGGCGAGTGCTCTAACCACTGAGCTACATGAATCCAGGTTGTGGAGAGACTAGAGCAGGTCCATATATGAGACAGTCTTGTATAAAACGCAGAGTAGTTCAAAAGTGCGGTTGAAAATATAGGTTTTACGATAGATTTTGAAGGTGCGGGAAAGGAAAGAAAGTGCAAGGCGACTTGACTCCCGGATGAAGTTCCATAGTGCTGGGTCAAAATGGCTTTTCAGCTTGCGCACTAATGGTGACAGATCGGGCAGGGGGTATGAAGCAGACTGATGTTTGCTGAGCGGATGCGGGTGGGGCAGAAGAATTGATGGAAGTCTCAGAGGTAGGCTGGGTCTGGAGGCACTTTACATAGAATGATAATGGCACAGAAGCTGGCTATTCAGCCCAACTATTCCTTGTCAAAAGTCAAAGTGAGCACAAGCATTTGAATACGAGCAAGAGATCTTGAATTTGATCGCCTGGGAGAGAGAGAGGCAGCCAGTCACCAGAATAAAGGAAGAGGTTAATGGGGTTGGGGACCCTGGTGTGAGAGAGGACATGAGTTGCGGCATTCATAGAATCATACAGCACAGAAAGAGGCCATTCGGCCCATCACGTCTGCGCCGGCTCCTAAAAGAGCAATCCAACTCAATCCCACTGGCCCGCTTTCTCTCCACAGCCCTGCAATCCTGTCCTCCCCAAATACCCATCTACTTCTCACTTAAAAGTTGTTATTGAATGAGTTTCCACTAGCCTTTCTGGTTATGCATTCCAGATCTGAACAACTCGCTGGGTGAAACTTTTTTTCCTAACCTCCCCTTTGTTTCTTTTAACAACCATCTTAAATCGGTGTCCTCGGGTTACTGACCCACATACCAGTGGAAACAGTTTTTCCCGGTTCAACCTATTAAATCCTCTCATGATCTTGAAAACCTCCATTAAATCTCCACTTAACCTTCTCTGCTCGAGGGAGAATAATCCTAGTTTCGCTAACCTCTCCTCATAACTAAGATCCTTCATTCCTGGTACCATCCTGGTGAATCTCCTTTGCACCCTCTCCAATGCCCTAACATCTTTTCTAAACTGTGGTGCCCAGAACTGAGCGCAATACTCCAACTGAGGCCTAACCAGCATTTATAAATCATAGAATCGTTCAGAACAAAAAGAGGCCATTTGGCTCATCGAGTTGCCGGCTCTTTGAATAGAGCAATTAATGTCAATCCCACTCCCCAGCCTTTTCCCCATAACCTGCAAACCCGTCCTCCTCAAATACCCGTCACCTCATTTTTAAAAGTAGTTATCGAATCGGCCTCGACCACCCTTTCAGGCAATGCGTTCCAGATTCGAACAACTCGCTGCGTGAAAAAATTTCTTCTCACCTCCTCTGCTTCTTTTAGAGACTATTTTGAATCTGTGACCTCGAGTCACCGACACACCCACCAGTGGAAACAGTTTTTCCCTTTCTAACCTATCAAATCCCCTCATAATTTTGAAGACCTCTATTAGGTCTCCTCGTAACCTTCTCTGCTCAAATGAGAATAATCCCGGCCTCTCTAGCCATCCTTGTAAATCTCCTCTGCACCCAGCGAGTTGTTCATTTATGTATATTAAGAAGAGCAGTGGTCCTAATACCGATCCCTGGGGGACACCACTGTACACTTCCCTCCAGTCAGAAAAGCAGCCGTTCACCACAACTCTCTGCTTTCTGTCTCCCAGCCAGTTCTGGATCCATACTGCCACTGTCCCTTTTATACCATGGGCTTCTATCTTTCTTACAAGTCTTTCATGTGGTACTTTGTCAAATGCCTTTTGAAAGTCTATATAAACTACATCAACTGCACTACCTTTATCCACCCTCCGTTACCTCATCGAAAAATTCTATTAGATTTATTAGACAAGATTTGCCTTTAACAAATCCATGTTGGCTGTCCCTAATTAACCCATATTCTTCTAAGTGAAGATTTATTCTGTCTCGGATTATATTCAACATAACCTCCTGACTTTTGAATTCTATCTATCTATAAAACCTGGTATCCCGTATGCTTTTTTAACAGCTTTATCTACCTGTCCTGCCACCTTCAGAGATTTGCTTATGTGGACCCCCCGGTCTCTCTCTTCATTTGCCCCCTTTAGGACTGTACCATCAGTTTATACTGCCTCTCCTCATTCATTCTACCAAAATGCAAAACTTCGCATTTCTCCACATTAAATCTCATCTGCCGCGTTTCTGCCCATTTTACCAATTTATCTAAGTCCTCTCGGTGTCTGGTGCTATCCTCCTGACCATTAACTACTTTTCCTAGCTTAGTATCATCTGCAAATTTGGAAATTGTGCTCCTATATCCAGGTCCAAATCATTAATATAGATCAGAAAGAGCAGTGGTCCCAATACCGACCCCTGAGGGACACCACTACACACCTCCCTCCAGTCAGAAAAGCAACTGTTTACTACTCTTTGCTTTCTGTCTCCCAGACAGTCCTGGGTCCAATCTGCCACAGTCCCTTTAATACCGTGGGCTTCTATTTTGTTTATAAGTCTCTTTTGTGGCACTTTGTCAAATGCCTTTTGAAAATCTAGATAAACTACATCTACTGCTCTACCTTCATCCACCCTCTCAGTCACTTCATCAAAAAATTCTATTAGGTTTGTCAGACACGATCTGCCTTTAATAAATCCATGTTGACTGTCCTTTATTAAACCATATTTTTCTAAGTGAGGCATTCTGGAACGATATACACTTATGTGTGGAGGAGCTGGGAAGTTCAGCGATTAGTTGTTGGAATATGATGAAGACATGAATCAGGGTTGGAATGTGATGAAGACATGGACCAACATTTCCTTGCAGTTGGATTTGGAGGTGAGGGTGGAGGGAGCATGGGAGGGTGGGTGGTGGCTGGCGTTGAAGAGAAGTTTAGCCTCTAGAATAATATTGGAGTAGAAAGATGATTTGGCTTAGTGAATGGGTAGGCAAGGGAAGGGGAGTTTGGAGAGAGGCACACATTGAGACGAAGAGCTGAGGTTTATGGAGCTTGGCGTGTGGCCCATGGGACTGGGGAGGAGACGAGGGAGATTGTGAGGGGGATTGAGAGACTGACACAAGAGGTCCATAAAAGCCAAATCCACCTTATAATGAGGCTGTGAGAGCGGGATTCACTGTACATGCGTACGGCCACCTGGTTCCCCTGCTACAAAATGCTGACATGTGCAGCATACAAGAAGTGATGTCGAGGGCAACTCAATGACCTGCCAGATAGCCAACTTTAAGCACAGCAACCAGCTAGTATGCAGGCCAGCTGTGTGCATGCACAGTGACTAGGCTCCATATCCACTCACGTTAAACAGTGCTTTATAATGTGACTGCACTGTATATAATAATAATCATAATCCTTGTATTTGATATAGCGCCTTTCAGACGTCTCAAAGTGCTTCACAGAATATACTGTAAAGTGAATTGAAGTATATTTTGTGGGAGAAACGAAACATGGCAGCCAATTGTGCACAGCAGTATCCCACAAACAGTCACCGATTGAGTGACCACATTTAAATTTTTTTTTGAAGGGATTATTACTCTCAGAAAAGCAATCCGCCAATCGAACGTGCAACCGGGTTCCTACTTACTCTAGGTAAACAGAGGCGTGTGGAGTAAAGAAACGTGCCCAACATTTCGTCCTGCCTGGGAAATAATTCTTGGGCCGCAGCAATGCATGATCTGGGGAGGCCGGGTGTGCAATGAAGGGATCAGTGATCATTGTAACTGAGAATGGCTCAAACTATTTAGTAACAAATTATGGTTTAATTATAGCTGACATATATCCTATTCCTAAATTTTAATCCCTGGAGCACTGTTGCTGATTTCCAGCTGTGCAGCTTTTGTGAGAATGTGGTATTCTCTTGAAAGGGAATTCAATAGATGCTTAAAGAGGAGGACAATTAAAGGGCAAGGGGGAGTGAGCAAGCAATCGAGAAGAACAGGCAGCTCAGGCTGAATGAATGCCCTGCGTCACTGCTGTAATGTTCTTTGTTTCTAACCCCAATTCCATCGGTCCCAAAGCAAATGTGCCGGAAATGCCAATGAAAAGTGATCCATTGCGGCTCACTTTATAAGCATGTCAGGACGTTGTTCCGATGGATCTGCAGCAAATTATAGATCTTTTAGTCTAGTGTTCAGAGTGAATACGATATGCTGAATGCACCTCTCAAAAGGTTAATAGAAATGGCTCGCTCAAATTAGCAACATCACCACTTGGTGTCCTTTGTGATATAGGGCATTGTTGTGTAACTACAGAAACAAGACTGGTCCATTGGAAACAGATGGCTGGGCAGAGGAAGCTGAAATAGCCATTCCTCAATAGCTTTGAAGATATGGTCGGTATATTGCTAAACAATGGCTCAGAGTTGGTAACTTGGACTGCATCACAACAACCTGTAGGAACTCCATTCCATTGAGATCTACTCCTGAAGACAAAACACTACTGTATTTAGCAACTCAACGCACCACATTTTAAATCATTTCAACATATCTGACAAAGCATATGTAGGTTGCTTCTGGCAAGCCGGTGTGCACTTCACACCAATACACGATGGCAAGCAGCTACCATTCTGGAAAAGCTCCCAGCTCCTTGATCCACAATCACCTCTGTACTATTTACTGTGGAATTGTGGCTTATAAAACGGCGCATTTTGACTTGACCCTTTCACCAGCCGCTATCAATCACAGCAGAATCTATGCTAACAGGGCTGATCTAAAGTCCTGATGTTGCTTCTACCCAGTAATCTTATCTATTTGGGCTACATATTAATTTCTCAAAATAATCCAACATGGTAAACGTGTGCAATGGGGACGTTATATTGAGCAAAAAGACAAAAAAGATGAATACCTCTTGGTTTATACAGTTATGAATGCTGGTTTGAAACAATCTAGATCTACGTGGATCTGCTTTAATTCCTGAGCAAATTCTATATTGAATTGACAAATAGGAGGTGTTAAAGACAGACTGGCTTAGTTCTGATGAAAGGCCATTGACCTGAAATGTTAAGTCACTTTCCTCTCTGTAGATGCTGCCTGACTTGCTGAGTGTTCCCAGAGACTTCTGTTTTATTTCAGATTTCCAGCATCTGCAGTATTTTTCCGTTTTGTCTTAATTTAATGATTGATTTTTCTTCCTTCATTCACCCCCCTCCTGGCCAAGTGAGATCAGGAATTTGGTGAAGGAAATTGCAGGTGTGGTCAGGTGCAATAGCAATGAGTAACACTGAAGGCCTTTTGCAAATCCCTTGGGAAGCATTTACACAATCTGACGGCAAAAACCCTGTCATTAAATAAACAGGTGGAGGATATAACCACACAATGCAAGGCTCTGAGCATTAGGTTAGTCTCACTCTGACACACACGGCACACTGTTAGAGGGATACCACCCACCCTACCCTTGGTGTCATGGAATGTAGAGAGTTGGAGGTGGAGCACGGTGAGGGGGAGCCAGTGGGGCTTTTGGAATCGTGGCACAGGAAGTTTTCGGCAGAGTGAACGGTCATGTGATAGACGTGCTCGAAGTTGGTTGGAGTGGAGATCAGGCTGGAGTCATGATTGGGGAGAGGATGTGGGGAATCTGGCTACAGAAAGAGCAACAGGAGGCAAGTAGGTCAGAAATAATAAAAGCAACAGCAGCAAAGCACCAATCCTAATGATATACGACACAGGAACAGCAGCGGAATTTGTACTCAACATATAAAACCATTATAGTCACCCAGAGCAGCTCTTACAGCAAGAACTTGCATTTACACTCTGCCCCTCCCACAGAGTAGCGACCCAGAGCGCTTGACAGTGGCGGAGCACGATATTGAGCCGGTGGGAGGTGACCTTAGGCACGATCAAGAGAAAGGTTCTCAGACACGACCTGAATGTGGGGACAGAAGGGGCAAGCTTGAGGGATAGACGAAGAGTGTTCCAGAGTTTCAAGGCATAGTGGCCGAATGCATGGCCACCGATGGTGGAACGGAGGGCACTGGGGATATGCCAGAGGTCAGAGCCAGTCAAGTGGTGGCAGCAAGTAGTGGGTTGGGGGGTAAGCAGGTCTGAAAGGTAGGGAGATGCCAGGGCATGAAGGGATTTGAAAACGAGTTTGAGGATCTTGAAATGAATCTTACTGTTAGAGATAGAAGCTCAAGTCTGTGAAGAATTATCACTGTTATTACATAGGGCTTAAACCCTTCTGATCCAGAGGCAAGAGTGCCATCAACTGAGCTGAGCTGACTGAATGACATTGTAGGGAAATGACATCACCTTCTTAATATTTTGTTGATCTTAATTTACAGACAAAAGCAAATTTGAATGTTTTCATAAGCTAACAATATTTCCAGGTAACTTCCCATACTGAGGTGTAAGGAATCTCCTGAGTTCCCAGACTATAAAAACGTATTAAGATTTGTGTCAGCATCGCTCATTTCAATGCTAATCTTGAATTCATAGCTTCAAAGAAAGGATATAAACTGATTCATAATTCAACTGACTTTTTTTAAAAAAGGTATTAGGGACACATCCAACAACGTCCCTAAATAAAATTAGTCGTTCATTTCCTGGCTGTTTGTGGGACAATGCTGTGTGAAAATTGGCTGCTGCATTTTCCTAAGAATACAGAGTCAAAATCTTTACAGTACAATAGAAATTCTGTGAGATATTTTGACAATGTAATGAAGTGCTATATCAAATGTACAGATTATTTATTACATGGCTAGCAGTGGTGGTGCAAAACGAACTATACAAGTTCAGAGAAATTTAAAAAAATTAAGTGTTATTAACAATAATAATCCTTGCATTTAACTGACCTTGCAACAACTGATCACGTCTTTGAGACATCTCAAAGTCCTTCACAGAATATACTGTAAAGTGAATTGACTATATGTTGTGGGCAAAACGATTATTTGATGATAATGTAGATGTTTGAATTGAGCCTTTTGAGAAGTTGAACAAGCAGCTAGAGCAATCAATAGTCCATTCTTACCTATCACTACATTCACTGTCTCGATTGGAAAATCCCTTCCTTTATTAAACCTAATTAATGTGTGTGTGAGGCTGTATGTTGGACGTGGGTATGTGGGGTGTACTTGTGCGTGTGCATATGGGTATGTGTGGATGTGTGCATGTGTGGGGTATGTGTGTGTTGGGGTATGTGTGCATTTGTGTGTGTAGGGGTGTGTGTGTTGGGGTATGTGTGTATATGGCGGGGATGTGTGTGTGGGTAGGGGGGAAATATGTTTGTGGGATATGTGTGTGTGGGTGTGTGTGTGGGGGGAGGGGGCTATGTGTGGGGGGGTGTTTATTTGGGAGGTAGGGGAGAGTGGTTGTGCCTATCTTTGGGTAAGGAGTGAGATTGTGGATTAAGCCTGGTGTAGTGTAAGTGTTCATTGGCATCATGTCCAAATACAAACGCAGCAATCAGGTCCTCTATAATCTTTATATTAAACCCTTGAATGTAATTGTACTGTTTTTATATCAGAAACACCCATCAGACAGCGATCCCCATCGTACCATTGGCAAATCTTTCAGGATCTGGATGCCATCTCCTGGACCCATGTGCACAATGTGATTGAAGTTGGTCGGGTTTGAGATTAATTTCGATCGCATTTCCGGATCCCGAAGCATTTCCCTGCAACAAAAGAGGAATTTAATTTTAATTTTCACTTTTTTTTTGTAATTCACCCTCATCAATGTTCCCAGCCTTTCTCACCGCTGCTCGCAAGCCACATGGTACAAGACGCACTCAAAGAGTTTTCTTTCTCTCTCTGGAGAAGAAACTGAAGCTGCTGTCAGGGTGAGACAAGCTGTAGTTTCTAGGCAAATACTGTTTTTTTGTGGAGTCCTGTAGCTCAGTGGTTAGAGCTCTCGCTTTGCAAGCGAGAGAGCTGAGTTCAATTCCAGGCAGAGGGCGAAATCTTGGGGAAGTTTTCTTACTCCACACAGAGCCTAATAATAATCCCCAAACCAAAACAGTATAATAAATTGGTCATTTTCAATCTACGACTGTTTGTAGGACATTGCTGTGCGCAATTGGCTGCCGCGTTTGCCCACAAATATACAGTCAATCCACTTTACAGTATATTCTGTGAAGCGCTTTGGGACGTCCTCCCGACGTGAAAAGCGCTATATCAAATGCAAGATTATTATTAAATACAATATGAATACTGATGTGCTGAATCACAGCTGTGTGTGACCACTGCAGCCACAAAGTAAACACATGTCAAACAGTAATGCAGTAACCTCTAAGGTAATCTTTCTGTTGCCAGTTTTCTCTGTTTATCTCTGCCAAACAAACTGGACTCTTCCACCTTCTTTCTGCTATGGCTTAATACACACTTGATCCAATGGGAATGATTCACAAGTGAGCTTCGACAGTGAGTGTTAATAATAATCCTTGCATTTGATATAGCGCTTTTCACAGCTTCTAGACGTCTCAAAGCGCTTCATAGAATATACTGTAAAGTGAATTGAGTGTATATTTGTGGGCGAAATGCGGCAGCCAATTGCGCACAGTAGCTTCCCACAAACAGTCGTGGATTGAAGTGTCCAATTTATTATTTTTTTTCTTGAGGAATTATTATCATGCGTGAGGAGTAAGGAAACTTGCCCAACGTTTTGTCCTGCCAGGAATCGAACCCAAGTCTTTCGCTTGCGAGGTGAGTGCTCTAATCACTGAACTACAGTGTAACAGTGTTAGGAGACTTTTTGACAGTGGAGAGCATCGCAACTGAATCCTGTTCCTATTTTCATCCGATGACCTCATGAGAGGCTTGAACTTCCTCATGATCTTAGTCTCAACACCATGAACTTAAACTCTCAAGACCCTCCCCTTCAACCCTCAGCTCAGGTCCAAATCCCTGAATGCCCAGTGCCTTTGGACGTTCTCCCGACATGAAAGGCGTTGTGTAAATGTCATTTGTTGTTATTGTGCCGCAAAATTATGGAAGATTCTTACATTCAGCTTCAGTTTGGAAACAAGAGGGGAAGGGATGGAGGCATTATTTGCAACGTTGGACACAACTAACCTCCTCTGCTGAAGCCTCTCCTCCTCAGGCACCCGAAACGAGTATCTCCTTTTGCTTCTGGTCCTGACCATCTGTTTCCTACTGTTGTCGGTAGTTTCAGGGACGACAAGCTCATCACCTTCTGCATGGACAGACAGAAACCAAAAACTTATTCAAGTCTGAACAGAGGGACAACACCAATAACATAATCTTATATTTACACAGCGTCGTTCACGTCGGGAGGACGTCGCAAGGTGCTGGACAGTCAGGGATTTAGACCCGAGCAGGAGTTTGGGATCAGGATGGGTAGAGAGCAGTGAGGGTAGGGGTAGGAGGGTGGTCAAAGGTGCGGTCGAAGAAGAAGGTCTTGAGGCATGTCTTGAAGGAGGAAAAAGAAGGAGTGAAGGTAAGGGACTGTGGGATGGAGTTCCTAAGGGTGGGGCAGAGAGGCTGAAGGCCTGATCACCAATGGTGAGGTGGGCCGGATGGGCGACATGGAGCAGGCTGGAGCCTACTGAATGGAGGGAGTGGACAGGTTGATATAGTGTTAGCAGGTGACAGAGGTAGGGAGGAGCAAAGACGTGGAGGGTTTTGAAGGCGACTAAAGGAGACAATAGCAGGATTCCTGTTAAAGCCTTCAGTGGTTCAACGATTTTAAAAAAATTAATTTCAAAATCATACAATGCCTGGAAATGTGCCCGTTCCATGGTGGATAACTGAATTTAATAAAGCTCAAAATGACGCTAAGGTTAAGGATAGAAGAAACACATACCTGCCATCTTGTTTTTAAAATAGATTAACCGGATTGTCTCAAGACCCAACAAATTAAGCGATCCCTCTGGATTGAGTGGCCGAACCTGCAACAGATTGACAGCGAACTTGCAAATCTTAGAAGGCTGGTTTTAAAAGAATATTTAAGTGGCTTCTCCTCCCATTTCCCTGTTTATTCCCCTTAACCATGTCAGAACATTCCCAAACAACATGTTCAGGAATGTTTCTGAGCTGCCTGATTGGGCTGTGCAAGGAGGGAGACTTATTCTTTGAGTATGTTCCAGTCAGCTCATCTGAGATCAATTTCACAAGGTAGGGAAATTGCAAGATCTATCCCTTCTTCTTGGCCAGTCCATAGGGTCTAACACTGGGCCCACCACTCTGCCCAAAGAGCTAATTATTGATGCCGTCAATCCCCTCAACACTGATGGTTGAGAGGGGGATTAACCTGCTCAACAGGCCACCAATGATGACACTTCTAAAGCTGTCTCCATCGAAATGTGCACCCCACAAGGGTCTCAGTCTCTCACCAACATGGGGAGTCACGAGTAACTGAGGTCTCAATTGCACCAGAGAGTCCTTAAAGTGAAACATCCGTGAAAAGCGCTATAACAAATGCAAGGATTATTATTATCTAACACTGGGACACTGTCCCATCTGTGCACACATTACCCAAACTGTGTGGTGTTACAGCATTATTTACAATTAGCTTTGAAGTAAACCCATACTGCGGCAAATAATAACAATAATAATCCTTGCATTTGATATAGCATCTTATCACGTCGTTGAGACATCTCAAATCGCTTCACAAAACTGTAAAGTGAATGGACTGTGTATTTTGTGGGCGAAACATGGCAGCCAATTGCTCACAGCAATGACCATCTTCATTCAATGCCATTTACTGACCCGAAATCCATCTTGATCTTGTGGAAAAGCCACGGTCTTATGATTTAAGATTGTTCATAGTTTGGGTAAAATTCTTAAAATTAGGTTCAATCTGGAAGTTGTTTGCCGCAGTTTTTGAAAAGAAACTGGTTTCCAAATTAAAACTGACTGAGAATTTCCCAAAAGGCGGCAAATTCTTACATTTTAATATAATGGTCTCAAGGGTAGGATGAAATTTCAGACTTCTTACGCCTACGAACAAGCTATTCTGCCACCCCACCTCCCTCACAAATGTTTAGGTGAAAGTTAAGATCTCCCATTTAGAACCACAGAAATCGCAACATATCCAGTCAATTCACTTTACAGTATATTCTGTGAAGAGCTTTGAGACGTCTCAAAGATGTGATAAGGCACTATATCAAATGCAATTATTATTATTGTTAAATCAAATATCTTTGCGAAAGTACTCAACATACCTTCTTCAGTGCAACTGTCTGAATCCATTCCATAGTGTTCACGTCAAATACATCTACAGCATTCTCACTATACACAGATAGATATGGAGCATTGTAACCTGTAAGAAAGACAAGACAAGGTGTAGCATCCACCACACTCTGAAAATTCAGGGCCTGTTTGGCTTCAGTCCTTGCCATATGTTCTCATGTAGCAAATTTGCTAACAAAAATCAGGTGGTGCACTTGTGGGATTTTAAACTCAAGAGCATTTACCAGTTGCTCTGCAATCTGGAAACTGCTTCATAAGTGACTGAGGTGCCAGTGTGTCAGATTGCGAGTGGATGGATTCTCATGCCTTGGGGATAGTCTGGGAAAGCTGACTCCAGTGATGAAAGAAGCAAGAGTGTCATCACGTAACAGTCCATTGGTACACATCCATCAGTGATCCTGGCCTTTGATACCTTCCCAATACAATAAACACCGAATGTATCTGGGAGCCAATCTACTCTGCATTAGCCGCAGTTCTGTGCTTTAACCCATCTCCAATACGAATTGAAGTGACAGTAACTAAACATATTTTGCATTGGACACATACGTGCCAACAGATAAGACCAAACTTCACTCCAATCTGACTGGATTAGAGATAAAAGGGCACACACCAGGTGCCAACATTGTGACAACAAATTGCATTTACATAACACCTATCATGTTTCACATTGACAAACACTCTATTTTAAGCAAAATCGGAAGGAAAAGGGCACAGGTTCTTATTGTGTTTTATCTTGACTCAAAGCAATTCACCAGTAGCGACTGCCAGGTTTCACATCTATTTTTGTAGGCAAACGCTGCAGCAAATAGTGCCAGAAAAGTCATACATGAAACCCTAAACTGAAGGACCAATTCAATTGGTTGTTGTTCACATTAAACGTGGTGGATAGAATTTTATAATCTGACAAATATAGTCAATGCAATGTGCATGTTAATATAAAAATGTAAATCGCTTCTTAATTACTGAATTCTTTCTTTGAATTAAGATGGAGTCCCAGTAGTCCTGAGTCAGACTGGTGTGCAATAGTCAAGGCACAGCTTATGACAGAATAGGCATCCTGAGTCATCTGTAGGATTTGGAGGAGCAGGCCAGGGACAGGGATTCTTCCCACTCAGCTCCCATTAAACCTGCAAGCCAAAGCCCTAGTGGTAGGATTGGAGGTTAGACAAGCGGAAGGAGGTTTGTGAGACAGTGTATTAGCTAATTAAACTTCAGCAATGCTCAAATGCATACAATGATCTTGAGCCTTTGCTCTTGCCAATCTGTGCCCAACACTTCCCAGAAGGATAAGGTGAGTCGTCATGTCCCTCCAGTGAAAAGCTAAGGATTGCCTGATCAAGTCCTGAGGTTACAATAGGATAAAGAGTATCAGATTATTTTCATTTGTCAGAAAATCTGTCAGGGGAGGACACAAATTTAAGGATAATATTAATAATAATCCGGCATTTGATAATAGTGCCTTATCATGTCTTCAAGACGTCTCAAAGCGCTTCACAGAATATACTGTAAAGTGAATTGACTGTATATTTTGTGGGCGAAACACGGCAGCCAACAATGTCCACAAACAGTCGTTACCCAATTGAATGACATTATTGTTGTTTGAATCACAAAGGGGACTAAAGTTAGAAAAAAATGTCTTTCCGCAGAGAATAGTTGGAATGCGTAATTCTCTGCCATAAACCATTGTTGGAGCAGAATTCATCAGGTATTTTCAAGTGGAATGAAATTGATGCTTGAGGAGGAATGTTAAGAAGGTCGGGGAGTGAGCAGGAAAAGATTAGATTTAGATGACTCACAATGGAGCAAAACATCAGTGCAAGGTTACCGAATGATGTTTCTGCGATATAAATATGATTCTAAGCAGTTTGAAGCTAAATCTGTTTCCAGGTTGGGAGAACAAGTTTGATTAGGTAAATGACCTTCTATTCCTTTAGCCAGGAACCTGGAGTAAATATATGCCGTGGGAGGGTGGGAGAGGGAAAGAAGGAAGGGAAGAAAGAAAGATGGCAAAGTCCTGGTTTGGGGAACAAACCATCAACATGACTAGTAGGGGAACGAAATGGACTTACAGCATGTGGTTGGTAGAGCTGGCCACATGAGTTCTTGTTGCCTGGACCTTCGGCCCTGACAGTCCACATAAACACCTACAGTACCGAAACACAGCAAGTATTCCTTGCCCGAGATCTCCACCGCACAGATGGCGTCTGCTGGTGGCTGGGCGATGAAAGAAAGCGTGTGGTCATCCGGGTGCAGCAAGCTGACCGGGCCACCCTCCCCCTGCAGCGGGTACTTGGCAAAGCCTGACTGGAAGCCCACTAACAGGCGCTCATTGAAGATGCCCATCCACTGGACCACGCCGGGAACCTGGATCTCGCGCGTCTTCTTGTGCCGCGTTTTGCTCTGGTTCAGTTCGTAGCACAGCACCTGGCGCTTCATGGCCACGCACAGGCAGGTGGCCGCCCCATGGCGCATGGGCCCTGAGGACAAGCTCTGGCAGCCCTTTGTCTCCACTAACTTAGAGAAGTCAGCCTCCCGCCCGTCCAGGGCTGTCATGGGGAAGAGGCGCACATGCCGGTTACGGCCCGAGATAACAGCCACGAGCTGCTCCCCCGAGATCAGCTCAATCTGATGCACCTTCTTGTTGTCACCCACACGGATTATTTCTGCCAAAGACAAAGGAGTAAATTTTAAAAAAAAGGTATATTTCAACTTGCTTCTTCTCCCTTACTTGCAATTACCTCCTTTTTTTTAGATCAAATTCAACTGCGAGTCACAGCAGTGAATCAGTTGATTGTGGGGTGTATCACAAGCTAGTCTACTCTTGAAAACAATATTTTCTTTTATATAGTGATTAATTCTAATATTCTCAGAAAACCTGCTCTATGCAGAGATTCACTTACAAGAACATTCACTGTTACAGATATTCACTTACCGTCCTTGGTGACGTGTACAACAAATAATCCTTCTTCATTTCCCAGCGCTATCCTTTCGTGATCTGGATTGGAACAACAAAAAAAGCACAGAAGTCATTAGTGGAACCGTAGTAGGTTTTAAGTACTAAGGGTCTATTGTTGTGATCATTACGTTTAAAAGTTCAATTCGGTGTACTTACACACGAGACTCCACTCCCCACAAACTAATCAGTGTATAACCAAAGCTTGTTATACAAGTGCATGTTTGCATATCTGGACTTGTAGGTTAATGCCTCAGGGCAGCTGTTCTCCCTCAACATACTTTGTAACTACATTGGTTGGACATCTAAGTTCAGATGTCCCCTCAGTATGCGTGATAACCATGGTAGTTAGTTATAGAGTACCTACTAACAGAACACTAACTAATCCATATGCGTTCTTCATTCTAACAACCCTGTGTGTGTAAAACCTCTACTTTTTCTTGCAACTATTAATTAATGATAATTTTTCTTACTGACCACTTTTTTCTATAAATGCAACACATGGACAGACCGTGAAGCTCAATGATTTCACAATCACACGTGTGGTGGGACAATCAGTGCATTGTTTTGTTTATTTTGTGAGATGTGTGTATGTGCTTGTGAGATGTGTTTGTGAGATGTGTGTGTGGAAGATGTGTGTGAGATACGTGTGTGTGAGATGTGCGTTTGTGTGTGTGTGTTTGTGAGGTGTGTGTGGGAGATGTGTGTTTGTGAGATGTGCATTTCTGTGTGAATTATTATTTACTAAAAATGTTAATATGTGGAATCATTTGTTTGAGATATCAGTGACATAACAAAGGATGGTTTGCTGGCTTCTACCTATAATAGCAGCCGACTGAGTTGTCTTAATGAGTGGCAGGGCACTGTCATAAGCTTCCTTTGGGATGAACACTGAGCGGTCCTTGAGCTTATTCTTCTTCAGGATCCGGTGTAGCTCATTCAGCACCCCAACCCACTTGTTCTTCTCGTTCTCGCTATCCGCTAGGATCAAGATTGAACACTTGTTGTTGGAGGTTGACAACTGGGAGGCTGTGACCTGTAACAGTACAAAGATGTAATTATGTAAAGAGAAAGCTGAGCTGTGTCGTGTCAAACCGAAGATTTCTCCAAACCGCAAACATTGCTTCTCAAGTGCATTTCAAAAGGCTTAAGCATTGTAATAACACTGTGGTCAATTTAGTGATACATTCAATATTTGTACATCGAATGACTTATTGGATATGTGGGAGGGCAACCTCACTGCCCAACAATGTACAGCATGAAGCCGCTCCTTTGCCACTGAACCTCCAGCTTTCAACTTTCCGTTCGAGTTTATTCTGAGTCTGAGTAAAAAGCCATGATCTGACCAGTCCATTTGCAAAGATCTCACCAATGTAAATGGCGTTGGATTGGGGATGCAACTCCACTACACAGATAAGTTCAATGTACTGACTAAATTAATTTAATTGTGTCTTGCTAAACACAACTGGAACTGCAGCTTGGCCAAGCTGTAGAATTCCCCCCTCGCCCTTCCCCTGTAAAAGTTCCAATCAATAGTATACAACATTTATATATATGGAACTGGATACCAGCTTAACTATGACTGTTGTTGTTGCAGATCTCAGTAACTGGCACTTCACAGTGGCTACACTTCACTGTAACTGCAAGAAGGAAGCCTTCCTCTCCTGCCTCGGTTTCAGTTATTGTCAATGATGTGACAGTTATTAGTCATCGCAATTTTAACCCCACTCTTTCAATCATTCAGATACCTATTATAGATTACACAACTGCTCGGCATCTCTGATCCGGTTCACAATGCCAAGATTTTACAGAGGATATACCTGGGTCAGCAGAGATGTGCTACAAATCAGCACCGTTAACAACAACAAATTACATGTGTATACGCCTTTCAATTGGGAGGACGTGCCAAGGTGCTGGACAGTCAGGGATTTGGATCCGAGCAGGGGGTTGGGATTGGGGGTGTGTGGAGGGTAGGGGAAGAAGGGTGGGCAATAGTGCGGTCGAAGAGTGAGATCTTGAGATGTGGTTTGAAGGAAGTAAGGGTGAAGAATGAAAGAATTCAGAATGAACTGGTTAGAATGATCCCATCCCCTGCTTGCCAGATGGTTGGGAGTCCAGCAGAGGGAACTTTCCTCTGCATTCTGCTATGCTGTGGGAAGTTGATGCAGACACTATGCCTGAAATAGGAAATTGTTCAATTTCTCAGCACTCACAAGAGAGTTTTTGAATATAAGGCAGGGTAGCTCGGGGCTATTTGATATCAGTAATTTTAAACAAAAAAAACACATTTGAACATTTACATTACCTGATATCATAGACACATAGAAACAAGAGGAGGCCATTCAGGCCCTCGAGCCTGTTTTGCCATTCTATAAGATCAGGGTTGATCTGTACCTCAACTCCAAATACCTGCCCTTGCCCCGTCCATAATCTCTTGATACCCTGACCTAACAAATGATTTCAGTCAACAACAATAACTTGTATTTATATAGCGCCCTTCATGCAGGGTAGCATCCCAGAGCGCATCAAATAACTTATTAGTCAATTACTTACTAAATGAAATGTACAAAATAATTTTTATACTTCATGGAGGTTGGGGGATTGCACATAAGAGGTGCTCAGCTAACCCAGAGCTCACTCTGCTGCTCACTCTAGCTGCATACTCGCTGCTCACTGTAGCTGCACAGATCTTTACCTACCCCAGTCAGAGTCATCACACTAGGTCACACCGGTACCGAGGTATTTTTGCATACACAGGAGCAGATAGTACTCAGCAAATACCTCTGGGCAGCAACTCAATTGCAATTTTTCCTTGCACCATGGTGTTTGGTGTTTGGAAAATGCAGATTAAATGACTCAATTCCACTGAAATGACATTCCAGTGATGACAACTGCATGATCCTACCAAACCTACTAGATAGCAAATAGATGCTTTGACTCAATTGGTCCACTGGCAGCTCTATATACAGGCTTTGCTCAACTCCTTCGGGAAAATGGCTAGGGAGAGGCAGTGATCTGACACCATTGGGTTAGGTCCACCCAGACTGATCAATCTTTCTCCATTCCATCCTGGTTAATCAGGTACTTTGCCTTTCTCTTTGAGCTAGGTCTTTGACATGCAGCAAAGTGACTCAAGTTCAGCTCCATGCTTTGCCTGTGTTTCAGTTTCACCCAGAGTAAGTGATGACTTCACATGTGGAACAAATATTCAACAGAAACAGAAAGCAGATTTCCATGGAGTACATCATTAATAAATAATATTCTTTTGAGTTTAATTCTACACGGGAGATAGAATGAACATCATATTTAAGCAAGCTGAATAGGAACATAGGAAATTAAGAACAGGAGGCCATTTGGCTCATTGAGCTCGCTCCGCCAGACTATTCTATGGCCCACATACTCAACTGCCTTTCATGCCAAATCTCTTAAAATGTTTTACTCCCCAAAGAATCTATCCATCTCTCTCTCTCTTGTTTCTCTCTCAAATCCCCCATCTATGACCTTCTGGGGCAGTGTATTCAGATTCTTATCTCTCTCTTTCAGAAGCAATTTTGCCCAAACCTACTTTGTCCTAATTTTATGTCCTTTTATAACTGAAGGGAAAAGTCATTCACTGTTTATTCTGCTGAACCCATTCATAAAATTAAATCACACCCCTACTCCCTATCTACCTCAATTCAAGGCAAACATCCTCATCTTAATCCACCCCCTCCAGAAAAAAAATTCTGGTATCATTCTTGTCAACCTCCACTACATTCTCTCTGAATCCTTCCTGTAATGAGGTGCCAAAAACCTAGAGATATAAGATAAAGACTATTCATTTTATGCAGAGTAAAAATACCTTAATGTGAGTCCCAGATTTACGGTCACGTGCAGAATGGAGTTTCGGGGTCTGTCTAATCGGCCCAACCCATCTACCCGGTTCTGCTGGAAGTGGAACCTAAGGCAGAGAAAAGAGAAAAGCTATATCAGAGTCATATTCAGGAAGTCAAACTTTTACCTATTCCTCAGTCATCTGAGGGGCATGGGTCGGCCTCCTCATCACTTAGCCTTAACAGCATTTTATTAAATACAACATCAACTTGCATTTATATGCCCTTCACATTCTCAAAATTGTGTGAATTTGTAAACCAGTTTCCAGCAGTTCTTAAGAAACTGGCCCCCAAATGAAGACTCAATTTAAGAATAATTCAAATTTCTGCAGAATCTTAAATTTTGAAGTAAAAATGTTCTTAAGTTGTAGAGAAACATCGCATCCATGACCTGGTTGAATCATTGATCTGCGATGAATCACTGATCTGCTTAGTTCCTAATATTTGGAGGGTGCAGAGGAGATTTACCAGAATGGTACCAGGGATGAGGGATTTCAGTTATGTGGAGAGACTAGAGAAGCTGGGATTGTTTTTCTAAGAGCAGAGATTTAAGGGGAGATTTAATAGAAGGGTTCAAAATTATAAGAAGTTTTGAGTTGATAGGGAGAAACTGTTGCCACTGGCATTTGGTTCAGTAACCAGGATACACAGATGTAAGAAACTGGCAAAAGAACCAAAGGGGAGATGAGGAGAAAATGTTTTACATAGTGAGTTGTTACGGTCTGGAATGCACTGTCTAAAAGGGAAGTGGAAACAGATTTGATAATAGTTTTCAAAAAGGAATTTGAGGTACTTTAAAAGGAAAAAAATTGCAAGGATATGAGGAAAGAGCTGGGGAGTGGGACTGATTGGGTAGCTCTTCTTTCTGTGCTGTAATATTCTATGATTCTATTTCAATGAAAATTTTGCCCTGCGCGAGGACTTTGGAAGGATGCCCTGGCCGCTGCCTCATATATGTACCCAGCAGTGAACGCTGCCACCTCCGTTCACCCAGGTCTTTCTGGAGTCATATTTTCCAGCAACATACTTGTGAGTTCAGCAAAACTGGAAAAACTCAGAATCTTGTCACCAAATTGTACAAACAGTGTAGTGTGCACACTCATCATTCACATTCAGGGGCAGTATTTAATTTACCCCATTAATTTACCCCACATTTTCCTGAGTATTTTTCTCGGAGTCTCATTGACTATATAAAATGGTGCCGCAGTACACAGTGCAGACAGCCGGGCTTTGTATTTCCAGCCACTTAATCAACCGTCGTTCCGAAGATAAAATCAGGCAGAGAAATACAGAAAAATAGAATGAGAAAAATAGAACAGGACAGAGAGAGAGAGAGAGCAATGAGGAAGAAAAGAGCATGCTCCTATGGGAAGTAAAGGTAGGAAAAGCAAATCATTCCTACATTTTTTCAGGTCGATGACCTTTCGTCAGACGCAACCTGAAACATTAACCCATTTTCCTCTCTCCGTAGATGCTGCCTGATCTGCTGAGTGTTACCAGTCACTTGTTTTTATTTCAGCTTTCCAGCATTTGCAGTATTTGACCTTATGCTTTGAGCTCCATTCAGAGATGTAGACCTTGTTTGGGGAAAGTAAAGTTGGAGAGAAAGCTGAGCAGTAGTTTTTCACTGTGGACACTTACCCGAAAGATGCAGGGGACGTCCTTCCTGTTGGCGTGGATAACGTCTGAAGCTAGAACTGAGCTGACTGAAAACTCCTCATCTCTAGAACAAAAAGGGTTGGTTTTAAACCTATCTTGAAGCAATGCTGCTTCAAGTGAGGAACTGTCGGCAGTGACTTACTTCACTGCCTCTGCCGGGGGGTGGGGGGGAAGGAAAGGAATACATAACATAAACAAGGTTATTGACTTGTTTAATTTGTAGAACTTAAGCAATAGAAGCTCAGCGAATAGCCTGGGAAGGTTCCAGGTTGAATCCCTGTCTATGATAGGTTAAGTGGCCTCAGTGGCCTTGTGTTTCTACTGCTGGTCGCCCTTTGATGCCCTTTACTGAAAAGTGCTCCTGTGTGAACGTCAGGCATGGACAGGATTAGAATTTAATAATCCTTACATTTGATATAGTGCCTTATCACATCTTCAAGACGTCTCAAGTGCTTCACAGAATAGTAATAAAGTGTAGTGACTGCATGTTTTGTGGGCGAAACGCGGCAGCCAACTGCATACAACAGTGTCCCAAAAACAACAGTGGACCAAGTGACCAAATTATTATTATTACTTTTTTGGAGGGATTATTATCCCCAGGATAGCAATCCACCAATCGACTAACAACCGGGTTCCTGCTTACTGCTGGGTAAACAGTGGAGTAAGAAAACTTAGCTAATATTTCGCCCTGCTCGGGTATCGAACCTGGGTTGACTGGCTTGCAAAGTGAGTGCTCTAACCACTAAGCTACAGGACTCCAAAATTAATATCAGAATCCTGCAAATATTCCGCAAAATTATGAACTTGGCTTTGATGACTTCCCATTCTCCAAACTGAATACTTGCTGGCACTCATGACTCAAGACTCATACATGAACAATGGGCCGAAATACCAAACGGTAATTGGTAACCAGAAGAAGAATAAAAGTCCAAAAAGACTTCAGGAATGGAGAAGAGGGGAGAAAATTATTGAGAGATATAATTTTTTTTTGTGGGGGGAGGAAAAATAAAGAAATTTAGGGATTTATCTCTGCTGGAAACTTAGCTGACATTCATTCATTAATAATAATATAATAATAATCCTTGCATTTGATATAGCGCCTTATCATATCGTTGAGACGTCTCAAAGCGCTTCACAGAATATATTGTTTAGTGCGCGAAATGGGATAAAGCAGTAGGTTTCGATAGACGAGGGTAAAAGTGGAGTGTACTACCTCATGTCAATGACTTGGCTGACGACTACACTTGGCTGAGAGGTCTTGCCTTCTGCAATGTCGTACAGAAACAGTTTAAAATCACAAACCACAGCCAGTGCCCTCTGCCAGCCTTTCTTCACTCCAGCAGGTTTTGGTACCTAAGAGAACACAATCAGTGATACTCTTTGAGTGGCAGGAATTGGATTGTTCAGGCCAGTACTGTAACAACATCAGGAACTTGCATTCATGTAGCGCCCCTCACGCAGGGTAGCGTCCCAGAGCTTGACAGTGGCGGAGCACGACGGGGGGGTAACCGTAGGCACAGTCAAAGAGGAAGGTCTTCAGGCGTGACCTGAAACTGGGGAAGGAGGGGGCAAGGCGGAGGGCTAGAGGAGACTATTCCACAGAGTTTCGGGGCGTAGTGGCTGAAAGCGCAGCAATCGATGGTGGAACGGAGGGCACAAGGGACATGCAGGAGGCCAGAGTCAGCGGAGGTAGCAGGTAGTGGGGTAAGCAGGTCGGAGAGGTATGGAGGTGCCAGGGCATGAAGGGATTTTAAAATGCTTGTGAGGATCTTGAAATCGAGAGAGACTGCAATGACAGAGCAAGCAATACTTGAATAATACAGCACAAACACTCAAAATGCAGCAGTTCCAAAATTCACAGGCAAAGATTCAGCATTTTGATATATTGTATGTTGGAGGTAACTTTCAAAAAAGAATATCATACATGGAACTTCAACACAAAGCTCTTTCTTCCCATTTATAAATTTGAGTCAAGTTTGGATAGAGAAAAATACATAGAAAGAGATGAAGAATATTGGCATTGATTAGCAGGTTAGTAACAAGCCAACATAAGCTGATGGTCGTTATCACAAGCAAATGCATTTCAAACGGAATCTGATAAAAACAGGAAACTAAATGTTAAGTGTAAAGCAAACAGTATAATGGTTATATTGCAAACTATGGTTTTGATCTGGTCTCTTACCCGAACATGTCCCTCGTAGGCTGTGCCAATGCCTCTGTGTGGATCAATGCCCAGTGGTCCCTTCGTCTGGTCAGGTGGAATGGGACACACAGCTGGTGCTTTGTCCGCGCAGGTCACATGACAAGAGAAGCCGCATACTACACACCAAAACAGCACGACAATCACTACCTGCACCTCGTGCCCGCACCCAAACGGTATTTAAAACAATATTAATAATCCTTGCATTTAATAACACCAAACATCCCCAAGCACTTTACAAGATATTACTGTCAAATGTAGTGATAGTTGTATCCACAGGCATATGCGGTCGCTATTTATCGTGGAGTCCTGTATCTCAGTGGTTACAGCTCTCGCCTTGTAAGTGAGAGGACCTGGGCTTGATTCCCAGGCAGGGCGAAACGTTGGCCGTTTCCACACCTCTGTTTACCTAACAGTAAGTAAGAACCTAGTTGTTAGCTGATTAATGGATTGCTTTTCCAGGGTTAATAATCCCTTCAAATAAATAAATAATTTGGTCATTCCATCCATGACTGTTTGTGGGACACTGCTGTTCACAATTGGCTGTCCACAAAATGTAGTCAATTCACATTACCGTATTCGAGCCTTATCATGTCTTCGAGACGTCTCGACGACATGATCAGGGCTATATCAAATGCAAGGATTATTATTATCGTAAACCAAGGTCCCCAAAACAACCATGAAGTGAATGACCATTTTATTTGGAGAATTGTTAGCTAGAATACCTGGAGAAACTCCTCTCTCTTTTAAAAAAGAATCACAGGATCTTTAACAGATGGGAACAGGCAAATGGGATCTCATGCGAGGAAAGAGGAAAATGTTGAAGGGAATTTATCCTGAAACACTTTGTTCTTGCAGTTGAGCTTGGGTGAGGGTTTTTAAATATGCACACATAATATTTGTGTCCATCCTCATGTTTTAGGTTTAGTTTAGCTTCCACATGCCTCACAACTGACGCTCTTGTCCAGAATGATACCAAGACTTAAAGGGTTAAAAAAAATGAGGACAGATTGGTCTCTATTCCCTTGAGTTTAGAAGTTGAGGTGTGATCTGATTAGGGTTTTAAAATAATAATGGGATTCGATAGAGTAGCTACAGAGAAACTATTTCCTCTGAAATCCAGAACAGGGGGGCAACATCTTAAAATTAAAGGCAACAACAACAACTTGCACTTATATAGCATCCTCCACGCAGGGTAGCATCTCAAGAGCACTTAAAGCTATGCCATTCAGGAGTGAAATCAGGAGGCAGATTTTAACCTAAAGGGGAGTGGAAATCTAGAACTCTCTTCCCCCAAAAGCCTGCGGATACTGGATCCATTTAAGTTTTCAAGACTGAGGTGGAAAGATATTTGTTTGGTCAGGGTATCAAGGGATATGGGGCAAGGGTGAGTAATTGGAGTTGAGGTGCAGATCTGCCATGATCTTATGGAATGGTGGAACAGGCTCGAGGGGCTGAATGGCCTACTCCTGTTGCTATGTTTCCATATAAGGTTTTTTTTTGGGTGGGGGGGGTGCGAAGGTGGAGATCACAACTCTCCATGAGAGATTTCAATACTGCCTTGGGGAAGTCTCTCTACAGCCCCAGCCAAAGGTATTTAGAGGATAAGCCACGAGGAAAAGCCAAACATTCACTTTACTCCACAGCATGAATACATTCTGGGTTTCTGTGAGAAATTATCATAGTGAGGGGGGNAACAGAGATGTAAACTGAACTCCTGGGTTTCCAAAATAAATAATAACCATTGCACTTGATATAGCCCCTTGTCACATTCACGAGACGTATCAAAACGCTTCACAGAATATACTGTAAATTGAACTGACTGTATATTTTGTGGGTGAAATGCAGCAGTCAATTGAGCACAGCAGTGTCCCACAAACAGTCGTGGGTTGAGTGACCAAATTATTTTGTTTGTATAATGGATAGTGATCAGGAGTGGGAGCTCTCGTTGATTTCCTCTCCTTAAGCTGGGCCCAAATACAGCCTCAACCATCAGCAAACTCAACACAAGCAGTAAAAGGGACAGAAATTCAAACTCAGGATGAACCAAACTCTCTACCCATCCCCAATATGATGGTATGAATGTGCCTTTGGTCAGTCAATCTACTGCATTGATATTTCGGGCTTGAACAGTTGACCCACAGGCAACAGAACTACCAGCTGAGCCAGGATGGTATCAAATCACTGTGTTTAATCCAAATTGAGACCTTGTCAGCTTTAAACTATCTAAGTAATGATTGATCCACTCACCTTCACAACAGCAGCCTTGACGAACCAAGCCAACCATTAGTGATGTGCATTGATTACATTTTGTTGGTGTGGTGAAGGATTTCACAGTGAACTGATGAGCCTTGGGCTGGAAGAGGAAGGCAAAAGTGTTGGATTGTGAACAGTGTTTTGCTGTTAGTATAGGATAGCATAGTTCAAATGGTGGTCCGTGGGTTACATCCGGCCCGAGACCATTTCCAACATCCCAACTTCTGCTCCCCCCCTCTCTCCCTGGTGAACGTCCTTCCAGGGCAACAGCAGGAGCCGGCGGTTGGGCGGACACAGCGCGGAAAGTGAAAATAATACCAGCTGTAGTCGCAGGAAGACAAGCACATCTCCTTATCCACTGTGTCCCCTTATCCACCACATCCTTAGCAACTGCCAGCTCCAGCCGCCTCGGATAGAGACTGATTGGGAGAGGGATGGGGGGCAGGGGGAAAGAGTGTGAGAGAGGGGGGAGAATGGTTGAATAAGAGACAGAGGAGAAACTGTGTGTGTATGTGTGAGTGAGAGAGAGAGGTGAGAAAGGGGGGGAGAGAGAGAGACCGTGGCCTGCAGGTCTTTCTCAAATAGGAAATCTGGCCCGTGGCAGCGAAAAGGTTGGACTTCCCTGGTATAGGATTCCAGAGTACACAACAGGACAAAATAATATAAGCAATTTGTTATCATCTTAGCCCTCTGAGTCTTTCCTTTCCCACCTCTTGAAATCCAGATCTTTGAGAGAGCATCTCAACTGTAAGTCACAAGTAGAATAGAAGGCATTACCTTTGGTGCAGTGATGCTTGAACCACTATAGGTGGACCTTATTGTTGGGGTTTGCGGTGCACGTGGAGGATGATCTGTTACCTAATAGTTGATAGAAAGATTAGAGGCTGTTATTGGGATAAATAATGATAATCAAAGAAACGTCAATTTAAAGCATTTGTATGGAAACTCCTTCACAATGAGCAATAATACTAATAATCCTTCATTTGATATAGCACCTTATCACGTTCTTGAGATGTCTCAAAGTGCTTCATACAATATATTGTAAAGGATTTTATGCTGCGAGCAATTGGTTGCCGCGTTTTGCCCACAAAATATACAATCAATTCACTTTACAGTATATCCTGTAAAGCACTTTGAGATGTCTCAAAGACCTGATAATGCGCTATATCAAATGCAAGGATTATTATTATTGTTATTATTATCATCATCAATGACTGGGTATGTTGCTCACAACTCATTTCCCTAGCTAATGGTGAGTTATAGTGGGGGAAAATAAACTTAATAAAACACACAGGTAGTTTTACAGTCTGTTACACACATACCTCCACAGATTCAATGTCACTTGCTGTGGATGGAGACCGGGAGCGGGAGTGTAACTGGGACTTCATCTCTTCACCCGATGGTGAGTTGGAAAGGTTGAAATTCTCAATGGAATCAATCTATTGAAAGAAAAACATGTTAATGGTTCTTAAATGTACATGTTTTTCTAACAGTAATTCACTTTCCTGAGTGTTTTCAGCTACAAAACTCCTGTACATGTCGAAGGGTAAAAATGATCCAACTATATTCAATTCTCACTTCCCATCCTCCCATTTATAAGGCATTTCTCTCCTTCACATACTGGCACTTTAGAATGCAATTAGTCCAAAGTGCCATCTTGCATTAATAACTGCTTTCTGTGCTAGTCACACCCAGATTGAATAGATCCAGTTTAAACTTGTTGTGCTAAATACAAGTGCTATAAGCCCTAATTTATTAAACAAATCTGACCCAGATGGGTCCTACACTGGACGTAAAATACCATCGTTCTTCCCCATTAACACTGATTACACAAGATGGGAATTCCTCAGGTTGTCACTAAAATTAAAGCAAAGATGCAATATCCTTTAATCTCAGAGCTTTTACAGGGTGTCATGGCACAAAATGGGCCAGGAATAAGGGCCACAAGCAGTCAACTGAAGCATCTTGCTGTCCTGCAAAGGGCAGTGAACACTGGCTCAATTAGATCCAAGTGTTTTGAATTTGGCTTGGATGTTGATTTATGAATAGGAAAAGTGAGTTAAATTACCTTCAGCAGTGAATGCTATCTGTACACCCTGTCTCAGGTTGCTGTTTAAGACAGATCATAGATTCATAGAGAGGATCAGAGCACAAAGTCATCTGGATTTGACAGCTGCATTCAATCACCTGCATTCTCAGTGGTGATAATTCACTGGGATTTAGGGACATTCAGACGATCGAGCCTACTCTGGCAAATCAACGAGGTGAATGGTATGTTCCCTGGATTTTGTCCTACATTTGATTTCAGTCATGATTTATTCCTCATCTTTCTATTTTACCAATTTATTCATTAACTTTTTATTTTTAATGTAAAAAAAACCCACCTCAAACTGCAAAGAAATTGAATTTGACATAAGGAATTCATCAGCAATTGCCAGGTAGCTCTCTGAAGAAATACTACAACTTTCATTTGCATAGAAAACCAAGACTTCAGTGTACTCAATGAAGCGCCCTACGTAAATAACAACTTGCATTTATATAGCGCTCTTCAAGAGCGCTTGCCTCCTTCAAGGCACGTCTCAAAACCCTCCTCTTCGATCACGTCTTCGGCCACTCTCCTACCCTTACCCTCCCTGCCCTCCACCCCTCCTGATCCCAACCGCCAACTAGAGACCAAATCCCTGACTGTCTAGCACCTTGGGACGTCATCCCGACGTGAAAGGCACTGTGTAAATGTAATTTGCTGTTGGATTTATTGTTATGCTATGCCAGACCAAGCTCACTCTTTAATGGTGACATCTGCACTATGCATGATTGCACTGTCTTAATTTCTGAATTAGAAGCTACAATTTACAACCGGAAAAGATAAAATTGGACTGTCCCAAAATTGCTAAACTTTTAAAACTTAAGCGGATGTAAAACTAGGATAGGAATTAAGAGTTATTGGCCGAGGTAACACCCTGCTCTGATCAAAACTGTATTATAATTGATGGATTAAAAAAANTCTGTAGTGATTCTGCCATAATTATTCAGCAAAAACATCAACACGACTCTTGCTGAAATGCGTGGAATGTAGTGGTCAGTTTCAAGCAAGACACCTGGCACAGAGCAAGGACTAGGCAAGTTTCCTTACTCCACACACCTGCTTACCTAGCAGTAAGTAGGAACCCGATTGTTAGACGATTGGCGGATCACTTTTCCAGAGGTAATAATGCCTCCAAAAAATATTAATAATAATTTGGTCCACAAATGTTTGTGGGATACCAACAATTGGCTGCTGCATTTCGTCCACAAAATATACAGTCAATTCACTTTACAGTATATTGTGTGAAGTGCTTTGAGATGTCTTGATGTGATAAGGCACTCTATCAAATGCAAGGATTATTATTACGTCTGTACTTGTAGTCTTCTCCACATCGATCACCTGCTCTAACCTCACTTTTTTGTTCCCTCCACATTTTCTTAAATATACCTATTTTTCTAGCGAAAATCTTTTAAGAGAATGAATGATTCAATAATGTATAATATTAGACAACTCCACATTCCAATCACCCTATAATGTAATTTTTAAAAAAAAAACTCCCGTGGAGTCCTGTAGCTCAGTCGTTAGAGCACTCGCCTCGCAAGTGAGAGGACCTGGGTTTGATTCCCGGGCAGGGCAAAACTTTGGGTAAGTTTCTTTACTCCACACTCCTGTTTACCTAGCAGTAAGTAGGAACCCAGTTGTTTGTCGAGTGGCGGATCGCATTTCTTGGGGTAAGAATTCCTTCAAATAAATAATGATACTAATAATCTGGTCATTCAATCCATGACTACTTGTGGGACACTGCCATGTGCAATTGGCTGCCGAGTTTCACCCCCAAACTACACAGTTACTACACTTTACAGAATATTCTGTGGAGCGCTTTGAGTCATATCAATAGCATGATAAGGCTCTTTATCAAATGTAAGGATTTCATTATTAGTATTATATTATTATCTATGGAGACATAATCTTTCATTGTGGGAATGATATAGAACAATTGGAATGCTCAAAGCATCCAAGTAAGAAAATTAACTTCATAACCATAATGTTTTGAGGGTGGGAGCGGGAAAGAAAACCTAGTCACAAGTAGGGAATTGCAGCTAAGATCAGAGCTTCAGTATTCAAGAGAAGTTTTTATGTCAATAAAGAATGACGGCAGGTCCCTGTGGACATTAGCAACACAAGACCAAAGGCATCTACACCAGAAATTAGGGTACTTTGTTCTCAGATTGGTCTTAATACAGCAACTAGCATTCTTAATTCAAGAGATTTGACCAAGGACTGTATATGGCTCCATTTAATTTTCCCAATAAGCTTGCTTCCAGCACTCAAATGTCACTTATTTGACTGTAAAAAGCAAAGCTGTGATGTCAGGTGCTGACCACAATAATTCAATTGATCACTTGAACTCTATTAGAAAATTAACATTCTTAAAATGGACGATGGAAAATTCATTTTGCAAAGTTTGTGGAATGCAATCGGCTCCCACAATGTTTAATATTTGAACAAAATTCTGATGATTTACATAAAGAGCTTTCCAGAGATCAATTTCAACAGAGCACCAGCAGTGACATTATGTACATGCGGCCACTAAAGTGCCATATAGGCAGTTCCTGATGTGACATGACCCTTTTGTACTGTACCTTTGGAACAAATATACAAGTCAATGATAATAATCTGGTCACTTCAATCCACGAGTGTTTGTGGGACACTGCTCTGCGCAATTGGCTGCCGCGTTTCGCCCACAAAATATACAGTCAATTCACTTTACAGTATATTCTGTGAGACGCCTTTAAGATCTGATAAGGCGCTATAACAAATGCAAGGATTATTATTAAGTTAACTTGCACTGAAGGTCATGGCAAAATATTTTACTGGTTGATTTTACAATGACCTCACGTAGAACAGAGGTGGCAATTGTGCAAATTCTGCTGAAAGCCAGCACGTTCAAGACAGCTTAAGGATGGAATGGTTCTGACAGTGCCAGAGTTTTCTTTCTGAAGAGCACAGCCCAAGCAATTAAGAGCTAAACTACGTGGCATGCACACAGCGAGAAAGAAATCAGGCGCAGAAAGACAGTGGAAACATTGACATTATCAGGCAGAGTATCAACACACATATATAGAAACAAGCTAAGAGACACCATCTTACACGTCTGCCTTTGCTAGCTGGAATACAGGTAGGAGAGTGCTTTAACAGAGAAAGGAAAAGAAGTTTACTGAAAATAAATATCATTTCCATTGATTTAATTTGTCCTGGCTTTCAGTAACCTTCAAATACAATTGTGTTATTTGCACTACAATTCAGAAAAACTCCTTAACAGAACCAAAGCCAAGATAGCCAAACCATACTCAAACTGCAGGTAAAGGCTCATCAGGAGGACTTGGTGTAAGGCCTTGAGAACAACATACTTTTCTTGTACGTTGAAGGAGCAAACTGAAATGCTTTTTAACTTAAGTGCCACGGGGTGAATGGTTTGTCCTGTAGGAGAGAGGACATTGCCAACAAGTGCTAACAACCATCAATCTGTTCCTATTATCACACAGTCAGTGCTGCTACATTTAGAACTTGGTTTCCTTCCACAAGGTCCCAGATTCTAGGAGAGAAGCATCAGGAACATTAAATTCAGTCAAGGGTCAATTTTTTAAAAATTTTAAAAAATGTATTTAGGGCAATTTGTTAAATTTCTCTTCAAATGCATTCTTGAATAAAGTGTTTTCAAGGAGAATTAAAGTTATTAGGAGCTGCCAAGGACAATGTCTCCACAGGAGCAGCCAGGTAAGATGGAACTCCATTGGGGCCCAAAATTTAATATTTGTAATGGATTTGTTAATTTAATTGCCAGTTTATTAACTTGAAAACAGCAGTTGTATTTCCTTGCCAGCTTTTATGCAGACTTGAGATTTGCAATCCCCTGGCCATGAATTTTGCAATATATCCACAAAACTGGAAGTCACAATTAGTGCAATGAATATGGTTTGCCCCCAAGGGTAGTCTCTCCCAACAGTGCTAAACATGTATGAAATTTCACTATTTAACTACAAGGTTAAAATGACACTTTTTTTCTTAGAATAGAATCAAAATCACTTGAACAGTAACAAAAAAAATCAAAGAGACAGCCAGTGCTTTTCTGAAAAGTACAATATGGTAATTTAAATGTTCCACAACGCTAAGCTGATAAAACAGTCCCATAGTGGAGACAAGATCCAAACAGCATTTCATATCCTCAATATCGTAGCTGGATAATCTGTAAGAAGGGAGAGCTGGTAGGACATATGCACTTTGGGAGTTGGGTGGGGGGGCAGCCTGTCATTTCTGGGTGCATTGTCCACCTGAATTCACGTTGACTTTAGCTTTTCCCACAAACTATAGTGATAGGCAATGTAGTTTGGTGTTAGTTATTCCTGTGTTATTTTAATTCAAATTAAAAACTAATAAAACTATAGTCGTTCTACAAGCATGGCTAAAATGCTAAAGGATGAGAATAGCTAGTTGACAAGAAGCTAATTGGAATAAGACAGTCATTTCACTGAGAGTCAGGTAAACACCATCTTCTATTGCTTCCATTACTCTAACTGTGTTATTTTCTATCATGACCATGTACTGCAGAGATAACAGTGGATTTTCTCAGTTGTGCTGTTTTAGTCCCTTTGCTCGGTTAGGTATCTGACACATATGGAAACCCATCCTCATACGTGGAGTCCTGTAGCTCAGTGGTTAGAGCACTCGCTTTGCAAGTGAGAGACCTGAGTTCAATTCCAGGCAGGGCGAAACCTTGGGCAAGTTTCCTTACTCCACACGCCTAATAATATTCCTCCAAAAAACAAAAACAATAATAAATTGGTCATTTTCAATCTACGACTGTTTGTAGGACATTGCTGTGCGCAATTGGCTGCCGCGTTCGCCCACAAATATACAGTCAATTCACTTTACAGTCTATTCTGTGAAGCGCTTTGGGACGTCCTCCCGACGTGAAAAGCGCTATATCAAATGCAAGGATTATTATTATTATTATTATTATTAAGGGTATCTAAACCGGAATGAGAGTTCCACATACGTTAACAACCTTCACATGGAAATGTTCCTGTGTCTGGAACGGAATGCGTACTCCCTCCCCGGAGGGATACATTTTGCTTTTCTAATTCCTGAGAGCGTTAGGTGAATAGTTGTCATACCTTGCCAATGAGAGTAAGGGTGGCCTCACGAATGGCCTCCCGTGTTTCAAACAACAGGATGGAGATGTGACAATAGGCAGAAGCCGGCGGCTGGAAACGACAAAAGGTGATGCCCAGCTCTTCAGAAATATATGGTTTAGCCTATGGTTGGCTACTTTCAGTTCCTGCACCCTGAATATTTTGATGGTAGCAAGATTTGAATGATATCACGACAGAGCTTTTCACAGTGAAAAATTATTATTTCTGAAAAAATTATTATTTGTGAAAAACGATTCATTGCTTCAACATGATCTGCATCTCCAGCTGCCAAGAACATCATTATGCATGATGATTCAAGCAGGGAAAGTTTGAATGTCACATCTATTGTTCCTCCACTTGGAAGATGAAGGCGAAAGCCACATAGTCTAGACGCTCGTGTTACAGTATTGCAGGCAGGGTTTGAATTGGGAGTTACTGTATGATGGTGAATTGACTGTATTACCCAGGAAAGGTGTTTTGAACCCAATACATTAGACCAGAGGGAGCCTGATGCACATTGTTTCATGTTTCCAAACTTACATCGTTCCAAAACTCTACCAATGAAGATGAAGAAGAAGACAGAGAATCCTAGCTCCAAAATAGTAGCACCAAAGGAGGAAAGGAAATGAAAGAGTGAGGTTCCATTACCCAATCACTATTAACTAGGGCTACTACACTAATACATCACATCTAAGAACAAATAACCAGGTAGAGAAAACTCACATTGGAAATGTTACACTTGTGTACAAACAGAGCTGTGAGACTTGGGGGAAAGAACACAAACATATCTACTCAAACACATCATACGACTGGTATTTTACTCACTTCAAATTGATCCAGAGGAGAGGCAGGTGCATTTAGAAATGCCAAGAAAGAATTCTGTGAGTCTTGGTGCTTTACACCTAGGAAAACAGCAGCGATTTTTAGCAGCAATTTAAAAAAAATCTAAATAAAATCTATGAAAAAGAATTTTGCTTGTAGGTTTTTCAGCCATAGACAGAGATATCACTTGTTTTATGCAGCGATTCCTAAACGAGTCCCAGTGTAAATATGTTTTCAATAAAATTCAAAATTGTGTTTTTTTTAAAAAAAAGAGAAATCAGCAAAAACTAAAATCAGCAACGCAATAACCAAAGCTGTAAGGGTGGGGTGAGGGGAACTGGGACTTCGAACCTATGAATGGGCAGCTTTCAGTTTCACAAAGGCTCACTATGTATTGTCATTAAATATTGATGTAAACATCTTAACTCTGGCAAAGCAATTTTCTGCCCAGAAAAACATTGAAAATCTCACTCAGCTTTTGACAACAAAGCCATTGAGCTGTTGGGAAATAAACAGCGAGAGACAATCATTCGCCTATTGGGTAAAGGCGCCACCCAGTACAATCCCAGAGACCAGACAGTTACAGGTTTAGATCCTGCTGTGTGCTGAGTTAGGGGAGGATTCTCAGGTGGGGGTTGGGAGCAACAATTGGCCTCAGTGCCTCCGGATTAGGGAAAGGGGTAAAATGGGCCAGGGTTCCCGCTCCTGATCTCTATCCAGAGACTCTGCCCCTTCCTTCCCCTGACTTGAAGGTGGGCCGGCATGGACTTTGTGAGGTCAGGATCGGGGCTCGGCTGTGATGCCACCCAGTCGAATGCCCTGCTGACACTCACCGTCAAGGCACACACATGAAGAATGGCCGCTTGGGGAGAGGTACCGGAAGGCACCTGGCATCCGTGGGACAGGACCCCAGCACGAGACAGCACCTTCAAGAGAGGAGGGGGGGGTGGGGAGAACACTGACCAAACAGTAACATAAATCCAGCTCAACCAGTAGAAGGAGGTTGGGGAGAAAATCAGGAAGAGAAACTTTGTCGGGAGGAGAAATAAAATGCCTTGAAAGCCTGGGCAGCTGGTACAGAAACTGGTGGATTGAAAAATGAGCAGGTATAAGTGCTGTAACATAGATTCGGGCAAAATAGCTAAGTAGGCTCAAGAGGTACAAGAACCAAGATAGGTCCATATTGCCAGCAGCTGCCCTAGGAGGGACTAAGTGACGAGCACCAGGAGACAAGTGTTGTTACAATATGGGTGGAAAGTGAGAAAAGAGGATTATTATTGTGGAAGTGGACTTGATGAGACTCTGAGCCTTTTCCTGCTCTGGGTCCTTTGGCGATCTCTCTGTCAGGAATAACAATCATATTCACATCAGTTGCCACTGCAATCGTAATTATTTCAATGACAACTGCAACGATAATTTCCTGCTTTGAAAAGCCGGCATTTCCAAAAACCACGAACCTACACTTCGAGCACCAATATTTAGTGACAGGTTTATATAAAACTTTATTTCTGTGCAGACACCATCAAGGGGTGGATAGACACACACTCTTCAGCCCAGAGGAGATGTGTGATGTGGCCGGCCGAGCCTGCTTCTCATACCCTTATTAGCCTTGATTTCCTCCATTTCCTTCTTGAGCCGATCAATGTCTGCCAACAGCTCAGAGTTCCTCTTGTCACCCTCTTGCAACTTACTGAAAGAAAAAACAAATGTGGCTTTAAGGAACATGGACTTTTGTAACAGGGTGATAATAACAAAAAANTCCTTGCATTTGATATAGTTAGCGCCTTCGAGATGTCCCAAAGCGCTTCACAGGATACACTGTATTTTGTGGGTGAAATGCGGCAGCCAATTACGCACAGCTGTGTCCCACAAATAGTCATGGATTGAGTGACAGCATTATTATTATGTTTTGGGGGATTTTTTTGCTATTATTTTAACTGGTTTCTTTCTACCACTCCAAACCAGCAACGCTTTAGTTTACCTGACAGATTAAATTGGCTGGCATGATATGATACCATACTTTGTGGGAGTTTGTGCTAGGTCTCTGGCATCTATTAATAATGAGGACTCAAAGTAAAGTAGACATGCCAGAGAGTGTCAGTGACAATTTTCTTTGGAATGGTGGGAAGAAATTTCTAACAGTAAACAACTGCCAAAGTTGGTTAAACTATTTCACTTATGAAGGGCAGAGCAGATAAGACAGCTGCAGGCTTTCATTCTGTGCAGTAGTGAAAATGTCAAGTTCATGACATAGCACGCCAGGGTCAAACTGACTGACTGCTGCAACTTCTCGTTTAAACTTTGAACAAAACGTATTCTTTTCTGGACCAACTCAAGAAATACAAATTTAATTTGTATAAACTGGAATGCAACGTTTCCCCTCCTTTCTCCATTTTATTTCCTCCCCACTTTCAATTCTCACATGAGGGATCTAAATCTAATATGAGAAAGTAAACCCAGAATAATACCTTCAGATACACCAAGACAACAACAACCAACAAATGACATTTATGCAGCACTTTTCACGTCGGGAGGACGTCCCAAGATACCGAACAGTCAGGGAATTGGACCTGAGCAGGGGGTTGGGATCAGGAGGTACGGTATCGGACAGGGAGGGTAGGGGTAGGAGGGTGGCCGAAGGTTTGGTCAAAGATATTGAGATGTGCCTTGAAGGAGGCGGGGAGGGAACAAAGGGAAGGGACTGTGGGATGGAGCTCCAAAGGGTGGGGGCAGAGTGGCTAAAGGCCCGACCGCCGATGGTGCTCCTCCCTACCAATGTGACCTCTTAAGCTCCTACTAACAATGTCCCCTGCCTTGCCCACCCCACCGTTGGTGGGTGGGCCTTCAGCCTCACTGCCTCCACCCTCTGGAACTCTAAACCAGAGTCGCTCACCTTGTTCCCTCCCTTGCCTCCTTCAAGACCTGTCTAAAGACCCTCCTCTTCTACTGTGCCTTCGGTCACTCTCCTACCCTCTCTGCCCTCCACTCCTCCTGATCCCAATCACCAGCTCTGGTCCAAATCCCTGACTATCCACCGCCTTGGGACACCCTCCCAACGTGCAAGGCGCTGTACTCGGGTAATTTGTTGTTGTTGCTGATACCGGATTTGTAATTACACTTAACTGGAAATTCTGGCTGGCTGGGATACACCTCCTCCCCCAATAGTCTGGTGTATAATCCTATCATATTATATGTGAGGATTATTATTCATTAACAGCTAGAATGGGTTATATTTGCGGCAAATATGATGGGGCTAATCTCAGGAGCAACTTAGTGTAATAGGAAAATGGCAGCATGAGTATTCAGAAAGGATAACATCAAATAAGATGAAAAAAAAATTATTTGGTCACTCGATCCATGACTGTTTGTGGGACACCTGTGCTCAATTGGCTACCGCGTTTATGGGCCAAAGAGCCTTCTTTATCTGAACCACTCTTGGAACCCTTTGCCATGTTCACTCAGGTGAGAGCAAAAGCAACCGAGTTCCACTCACTCTTCAATCTAATCACAGCAGCTTCTGGTGAAGGATTGAGGCTCTGTTTGGCAAGGCAGTGCTCTTCAGCCAAGTTCAGAAACTTGCGAGGTGGAAGGAAGAAAGAAAGCAAACTGTTGAGGAATATTTCTATAACACTAACATTGTGTTTCCTTCTCCATTCTGCACCTGTTCATTATTATTGTAGAATTTTCAAGTGCAGGAGGACATTCGGCCCATCACGCATGTGGACAAATATTCCACCTTCTGATCAAAATAGCTAAACAGAAACAGTCTAGTTTCTGAATTGGAGGTGATGACCTCTTGTGGATTGCTTGAAAAGGTGTATGACAACATATACACCCTCTAGGATTCAGTAAATCACACAACATTCCCAGCTCCCGCAATCTCTTCTATTAGCTCAGATGTCCAAACCCATATATTAAAACAATGGCCTTTCACAGAAAAGATAATAAAAGGACAAGATGTGTGAATTACACAAGGTTTGCTAAAATGTACAAATCGCTAAATTGTTTGTAGAAAACATCTGAATTAATATAAAAAAATTCTCAATCAGGGCCAGCTCGAATCTTCACACTGGAAATACGGTGCTTTGAACTCACCACTCGGTAGATATACTGGCTGCTTTGACCTTATTGAGTTCATCCTGGATTGACTGCTTGGCTCGGATTTCAGCATCAAGTGCCGACTGCAGCTCCAGCCTGGCCGACATGTCCACTTTCTGGGACCTACGCATCTTCCAAGGCATATCCTACCAGAGAGAAAGAGAGAAAGCTTATGCAACCACAAACACTTCATGTATGTAGCAACGTTTCCATAGGATAGCATTTGGTGTGCTGCAAAAACATAGTACATGGCAGTTAACCCCCAGCTAACTGGACTAATAGGGGTAACATGTGGAGTTGTGTAGCTTAGTGGTTAGAGCACTCGCCTCGCAAGAGAGAGGACCTGGATTCGATTCCTGGGCAGGGCGAAACGTTGGGCAAATTTTCTTACTCCACACACCTCTGTTTACCTAACAGTAAGTAGGAACCAATTGTCGTTTGGCGGATTGCTTTTCTGGGGTAATAATTCCTTCAAAAAAAATGTGGTCACTCAATCTACGACTGTTTGTGGGACACTGCTGTGCGCAATTGGCTGCCGTGTTTTGCCCACAAAATATAGTCAATTCACTTCACAGTTTATTCTGTCCAGTGCTTTGAGACGTTTTGAAGATGTGATAAGGCTCTATATATCAAATGCAAGGATTAGTATTATCCAGTCCAGCTCGCTGGATTTTCCTAATCTTAACACTTAAAATAAAAGAAGTAAAAATAAATCCTCCCTAATATTTAAAATGAATTTTAAATACATAAAAGACAAAAATATACTGTCTTGTTCTGTCCTCGCCACTCATGCGATGCAACTGTGTCAAACCTGTGGTTATCACATGCGTTAAGAGAGGGGCTGGAGTTTGAAATTGCCCAATTTGGCTCGTGGATTTTTTTTCCGGACTGGGTCCAGCTAATTGCAGATACTATGAAGTTGGGCGGGGGTGGAGTGTAATTGGAGACTGCTTATAACATTCAGCATCAAAATCAGCATAGAAGATTCATCTCCTCGGTGGCAATGAATCAAAACTATTTGGACAAACAAAGGCTTTTTTAGTACGTTTTGAGGAATCAGTGTTACTGAAGAAGGCAGATAGATGCTTACTGTAGCCCTCGCTCCCAAACTGGAATTTCGCAAGGACTCCAACTCTTCTGTCATTTTGGTGGCTAGAGCCTGGAGGTACCCTCGAGCATCCTTCTCGTCACTCACCCTGGCAACAAGCAAACCAAAGTCAGTCACGCAGACACTCCATTCCATGCTCAAGTTTTTGTTGACAAGTAGTATATTTGCCATTTTTAAATCAGCAAAGAAAAGGAACGCAACAGATTAACATTACATTTAATGTAATGTTCCACTACTGTTCAAGCAAAGTCACGAGTAAACTACGGTTCACTGACCTCCCTAGCTACACCATGCATAAATAAGCTCCACTTCGTGAAAATTTCTGTCACTCGTATTCTCACCTGCACCAAACTCTGTCCGCCCGTGACCTCAATCCTCACCACACTCCATTTCTCCCCGTCTACCCATTGGTTGATTTCAAGATCTTCACCTTCATCTATAAATTACCCTATTACCTTCTTACCTCTCCAACCTTCTCTGCATATCCTCAGGCTTGCTGTGCGTCCCCTCTTTGTGCAACCACTGGTGGCCAAACCTTCAGATCCTATGCTCCTAACCTCTGGAACTCATTCCCTCACCCCCCATCTAACCCCATTGCTATGTGTCTTTAAAATCCCACCTTAAAACATATCTCTTCAAATTTACCTGTGGTCATCTTCCTTCCCTCCCCCTGCTCAATGTACAACCCAATCATATATAAATAATAATAATCCTTGCATGTGATATAGCGCCTTATCACGTCTTCGAGACGTTTCAAAGTGCTTTAAGGATATACTGTAAAATGAATTGACTGTATATTTTGTTATAATAATGTACTGTAAATGCAAATGAATATGAACTAAGTGCAGTTTAAGATTTAAGAGCTCCAGAGTTCATCCCAATAGCAGACCGTTCACGGGGAGCAGCGGCAGGACGGAGCGGGGAGGAGCCTGGGCCTACCTACCCAGGTACTTAAGCACGAGGCAGCAGGGAGTGCAGCTGGGGGGGCGGAGCGGGGGAACCGCTGACGTCATAGTTTAGTTTTCAGGAGTGTGCGCGTGCAACAAAAAAAAAACAACCCTCTGCTTCCCCCCCTGCCCCCCCCCAGGCTCACATCAGAGGCCACCATGGTCTTGTTGCGTTGGCTGCCCCAGCCCATGGGATAATGCAATCCACCTGACCGCTCGCTCCAGGTCCCCGTGTGCACACCAAACTCTCCCCCCTCTGCATCTCTCCCGCTCTGTCCTCCTCTCTCTCCGTCCCTCTCGCTTTCTATCCCCACTTGACCCTCCCACAATCTCCCTCTGTTCCAGCCTGGGAATCCTCCGCCGGGCTCACCGTTGCTGTCCAGCAGCAGCCACACCGACTGCCCCATTCCCCACCACACTCGCCACCCACCCCAGACACAGACCCGGGGAGCCAACCTCTCCTCCCTCATCCCCATTTCCCCCACCCCTGCTTCACAACCTGGACCGCCCTCCCCTCCCACACACCCTTCTGTCAACCACTCCCTCCACATCGGACTACAAAACGTCCGCTCCCTCTGAAACAAGGCCCTGGTCATCAACGATCTCATCCTTGATGAGAACGTTGATATCATGGCCTTAACGGAAACCTGGCTCACCCCAGGCGACACCTTCCCCCTCATGGAGGCCACACCACCCGGCTACACCTCCCACCACATCCCTCGACCCAACCGCCGTGGCGGTGGTGTAGCCCTCATCTCAAGGACACCACTTGCCCTATTCCCCTACTCCTGTGGCTCTTTCCCCTCTTTCGAGCACCTCACCCTCTCCCACCCCTCCTTCCTCTCACTCAAAATCCTCCTCCTCTACCGGCCCCCTAAAACCTCTCCCACCTTCATCTCCGATATTTCGACACTTCTTACATCTCTCTGCCTCTGCTCTGATCGCCTCATCATCCTGGGCTACTTCAACCTGCACTTAACCCCCTCCTGCTCTGTCTCCTCGGACTTCTCCTCCCTGCTCTCCTCGCTCAACCTCTCCCTCCACATCAACTCCTCCACTCACAGTCACGGCCACCCACTCGATTTCGTGATCACCCGGGGCCTCAGTGTCTCGGATGTCACTATCACCGACAAAGCCGTCTCCGACCACCACTTCATCTCCTTCACCACCTCTACCCCCCTCCCCACCTCCACCAGACCCACCACCATCTTCTACCACCCCTGGAAGAAGTTATAATAATAATCCTTGCATTTGATATAGCGCTTTTCACGTCGGGAGGACGTCCCAAAGCGCTTCACAGAACACATTGTAAAGTGAATTGACTGTATATTTGTGGGCGAACGCGGCAGCCAATTGCGCACAGCAATGTCCCACAAACAGTCGTAGATTGAATATGACCAATTTATTATTGTTTTTGGAGGAATTATTATTAGGCGTGTGGAGTAAGGAAACTTGCCCAAGGTTTCGCCCTGCCTGGAATTGAACTCATCCCTAACCGTTGCCTTGGAGTCCTCTGAACTCCTCTCCCTCTGGCCTTCAACCCTCACTGACCCCTCTTCTCCTCTCACTCTCCTCCACAACACCCTCTCCTCCACACTTGACACTGTTGCCCCCATCACCTGCCGTACTGTCTCCTACTCTCGCTCCTCCCCCTGGTTCACCACCCAACTCCGCTCACTGAAGAGCCAGGTGCGGGCCGCTGAACGCACCTGCGTCAAATCTGGCCTAACGGTCCACCGACAAATCTGGCTGGACCTCCTCAAAATCTACCGCTCCACTCTAGCCTCGGCCAAGTCGTCCTTCTACTCCAGGATAATCCTGGAGGCGAAGAACAACCCCAGGCTACTGTTTTCTACCACATCCCGACTCCTCCGTCCCCCCGCCACCCCGCGCAGGTCATCTCCTCCAACCTTCACTGCGAGGAGATGCTGGATTTCCTTCAATCCAAAATCAAGGGAATCCGCTCCGCGGTCACTTCCCCTCCAACATCCACCCACCCCTTCCCTCCCACACTCCGACTCCTACCCATCCTCCCCTACACACTTTCGTACCCGTTTCCCCACCCTCTGTCACCAAACTCATCCTATCCCTGAAACCCACCACCTGCTCCCTTGACCCCATCCCCACTCCACTCCTTATCTCCCAGCTCCACCTCCTTGCCCCACATATCACAGACATCGTCAACCTGTCCCTCTCCTCTGGCTCTGTTCCCATTCCCTTAAAAACTGCCACCATCACTCCCACCTTGAAAAAACCCTCCCTTGATGCGTCGCAGCTATCAAGCTACCGGCCCATCTCCAACCTCCCCTTCCTGTCCAAGGTCCTTGAACGAGTTGTCGCCTCCCAGCTGCGCTCTTTCCTCTCCACCCATTCATTATTCGAACCCCTTCAGTCGGGTTTCCGTGCTGCCCATAGCACAGAAACTGCCCTGGTCAAGGTCACCAATGACATCCTGACCATCTGTGACCAGGGCTCCCTCTGCCTCCTCGACCTATCGGCAGCATTCGATACGGTCGACCACGCTATCCTCCTCCACCGCTTGTCCTCCCACCTCAACCTTCAAGGCCCTGTCCTTGAGTGGTTTAGGTCGTACCTCTCCCACCGTCTTCACTTTGTTTCCACAAACGGCTTTTCCTCCACCCCCGCACTGTCTCGTGCGGTGTCCCTCAGGGCTCTGTCCTCGGTCCCCTCCTCTTCACCCTCTATATGCTCCCCCTCGGTGACATCATCCGCAGACATGGGGTTAACTTCCACATGTATGCGGATGACACCCAACTCTACCTTTCCTCCTCTACCCTCAACTCCACGACCACCGATGTCCTGACAGCTGCCTGTCCGACATCGAGTCCTGGACGAGAGACAACTTTCTTCAGCTCAACGTGCGAAAAACTGAGGCCCTCCTGATTGGCTCACGTCAGCGCCTCCGCACCTCAGGCGCTGACACCATCAGCATCCAAGGCTGCACTCTCCACCTCTCAAAGCCAGTCAGGAACCTCGGGTTCTGTTCGACCCTGAGCTGTCCTTTCTCCCTCATATCTGCGCCACAACTGGCACCGCCTTCCCTCACCTCCGGAATATCGCCAGACTACGGCACTACCTCACCCCTCACGCTGCTGAAACTCTGGTCCACGCCTTTGTCACCTCAAGGCTGGACTATGGGAACTCTCTCCTCGCCGGCCTTCCCGCCACCTCCCTCCACAAGCTGCAGGTCATTCAGAACTCTGCAGCTCGTGTACTGTCCCGCACCAGGCACCGCGACCACATCACTCCCACCCTCGCTCGCCTCCACTGGCTCCCCATCCCCCAGAGGATCGAATTCAAGATCCTCATCCTCACCTACAAGGCCATTCACGGCCTCGCTCCCTCCTACCTCTCTGACCTACTATCCCCCTACCTACCTGCCCGTACCCTCCGTTCCTCTGGCTCCGGTCTGCTCCACATCCCCCGCCCCAACCGCCCTACCATCGGTGGCCGGGCCTTCAGCCTCTCAGCCCCGAGTCTCTGGAACTCTATCCCCCAGTGCCTTCGCCGCCTCCTCCCTTTCCTCCTTCAAGGCCTTTCTCTTTGACCGTGCCTTCAGCTCCCCTCTCGACTCTCTCCCCCCTCCTCGCCCCCTCCCTTCCCTCCCCTCACCCTGACCATTTCCCCCCAATGCTCGGGTCCTGACCCAACTGTACAGCGCCTTGGGACGTCCTCCCAACGTGAAAGGCGCTTTATAAATGGAATCTTGTTGTTGTTTTTGTTCAAATCTTGAGAAAATGACTGTAAAATACACATCTCAACTCCCTTCTCTTTTGTTTAACCCCCACCTCCCCCAGGCTGTTAGCCCCTAGTCTATGAATCCTAAAATTCACAAAACAAATCTAAGACTTTCAAAAAAAGTTATTTCAATATATTACAATTTTTTTGAAACAATAAGTTTTCAAGGATCGAGTTTATTCAGACAACTCTGGAACTCTCTCCCTCAATCCCTCCCCCTTGCCCCCTCTCTCCCCACTTTCAAATCCCACCTAAAGACTTTCCTTTTTGATCGTGCTTATAGTTACCTCCCCCTCCCTCTCCCCCTAGCTCGGTGTCAGACTCCACTACTGACAAGTGCTCTGGGATGCTACCCCACGTGATGGGTGCTATATAAATGCAA